TGGAAAGCAGACTGAACCAGGTTTTCATCTAGGATGTTTGCCTGTGCTTAGTTCCATTCCGTTAATTTTTTATCCTGAAAAACTCCCCAGTCCTTAATGATTACAAGCATACCCATAACATGATGCAGCCACCACTATGCTTGAAAATATGGAGAGTGGGACTCAGTAATGTGTTGTATTGGATTTGCCCCAAACATAACACTTTGTATTCAGGACAAAAAAAATCATTGCTTTGCCATATTTTGTACAGTATTACTTTAGTGCCTTGTTGCAAACAGGATGCATGTTTTGGAATATTTTTATTCTGTACACGCTTCCTTCTTTTCACTCTGTCAATTAGGCTAATATTTTGAAGTTTTCTCCTATCACAGCAATTAAACTCTAACTATTTTAAAATCAGCTTTGGCCTCATGGTGAAATCCCTGAGTGGTTTCCTTCCTCTCCGGCAACTGAGTTAGGAAGGATGCCTGTATCTTTGTAGTGACTACACTACATGACCAAAGTATGTGAACAGTGGACACCTGCTCGTCGAACATCTCATTCCAAAATCATGGTCATTAATATGGAGTTGGTCCCACCTTTGCTGCAATAACAGCCTCCATTCTTCTGGGAAAGCTTTCCACTCGATGTTGAAACATTTATGCACGGACTTGCTTCCATTCAGCCACAAGAGCATTAGTGAAGTCGGGCACTGATGTTGGGCGATTAGGCCTGGCTCATAGTCGGCGTTTCAATTCATCCCAAATATGTTTGATGGGGTTGAGGTCAGGGCTCTGTGCAGGCCAGTCAAGTTCTTCCACACCGATCTCGACAAACCATTTCTGTATGGACCTCGCTTTGTGCACGGGGGCATATTTATGCTGAAACAGGAAAGGGCCTTCCCCAAACTGTTGCCACAAAGTTGGAAGCACAGAATCGTCTAGAATTTCATTGTATGCTGTAGTGTTAAGATTTCCCTTCACTGGAACTAAGGGGCCTAGGCCGAACCATGTAAAACAGCCCCAGACTATTATTCCTCCTCCACAAAACTTTACAGTTGGCACTATGCATTGGGGCAGGTAGTGTTCTCCTGGCATCCGCCAAACCCAGATATGTCTGTCGGACTGCCAGATGGTGAAGCATGATTCATCACTCCAGAGAACGCATTTCCACTGCTCCAGAGTCCAATGGCGGTGAGCTTTACACCACTCCAGCTGATGCGTGGCATTGCGCATGGTGTTCTTAGGCTTGTGTGTGGCTGCTCGGCCATGGAAACCCATTTCATGAAGCTCCCGACGAACAGTTATTGTGCTGACGTTGCTTCCAGAGGCAGTTTGGAACTCAGTAGTGAGTCTTGCAACCGAGGACAGATGATTTGTACGCGCATCAGCACTTGCTGGTCCCGTTCTGTGAGCTTGTGTGGCCTACCACTTCGCGGCTGAGCCGTTGTTTCTCCTAGACGTTTCCACTTCACAATAACAGCACTTACAGTTGATCGGTGCAACTTTAGAAGGTCAGGTATTTGACGAACTGACTTGTTGGAAAGGTGGCATCCTATGATGGTGCCACGTTGAAAGTCACTGAGCTCTTCAGTAAGGCCATTCTACTGCCAATGTTTGTCTATGGAGCTTGCATGGCTGTGTGCTCGATTTCATACACCTGTCAGCAATGGGTGTGGCATCTATGAATAGGTGCCCTTCTTTGTGAGGCATTGGAACACTTTTATGGTCTTTGTGGTTGAATCTGTGTTTGAAATTCACTGCTCGACTGAGGGACCTTACAGATAATTGTATGTGTGGGTTACAGAGATGAAAAAATCATAATAATATAATAATAATAATAATCATGTTAAACACTATTATTGCACACAGTGAGTCCATGCAATTTATTAAGCACATGTTTACTCCTGAACTTATTTAGGCTTGCCATAACAAAGGGCTTGAATACTTATTGACTCAAGACATTTCAGCTTTTCATTTTTAATTAATTTGTGAAAATGTCAAAAAACATAATTCCACTTTGACATTATGCTGTATTATGTTTAGGACAGTGGTAAAAAAATCTATGTAATCCATTTTAAATTCAGGCTGTAACACAACAAAATGTGGAAAAAGTCAAGGGGTGTGAATACTTTCTGAAGGCACTATGGAGCTTGCATGACTGATGAAAATTATGCTAGTTTGAATTATTGGGCAGTATACGAAAAATACAGCCAGTGGGGAAAAAAACGAGTGAGATATTTGGCTGTAACTTTTCAAGAAGGGAGACAACTTAAATGGGTATGTACTGTGTGAGTTTCATCACTCTAGCTTATTACTGTTTGTAGAAATTCAAGGTGTTACAATTGCCCCCTGTTAAAATTCCCCCGTCTCCCGTACTTGAAACATATCATGAAATGACGTTTATTTGAAACTAGTTTATCGTCTTTGCTCCCCAGCTGTGTCAAACAAGTTATATACCCATTTCTATCTTTTAATAAATACCATACCACATTTTCAGAATTGTTTCATTAGGTTGTGTCGATGAGAATGGAGATGACAATATTAATGACGATATTTGATCATAAACCATGTGTTATTAAGAATGGTTTTTGTATTTTACGTTTTTCCACAGTCTGTCGTGCATTATGCATCTATAGCCTTTTATGTATTAATAACCATAGAATTAGGAATGAGAATATTAGAATGGACATGCACCTTCTTATGATGGTATAAAGGTCAGCCATTTTGGTCAGGCAGTTGGTCAACCATAGACCTAGTCGTTATTAGATAGAATGTCGAGCCCCTGCCTGTGGGGAAAACAACCTGTGGTACCTAGGTTACCCCATTGGCTCACAGCAAAAACTTGACCTTTTTCAAACACCATTTTCTTGTTGTCTGCTTGTTTTAGTCAATTACAAAACTTAATTTCTAAAGAATACCTTTCAACATTGTCTGCTCACTAGCATTCTCACTACTTAGAAAAACATAATATTGTAAGGCTTCCCTCATGCCCCTTTTCATGACGATGCTAGCAGCCACTTGAGTGAGTGCTAGCTAGCTACCGACCGGAACACGAAGCTAGCCAAGACCAACAACACAAACGGACCATACAGCTACAAGTAGGGAGTGGAGTTACAAACGGACTGTACTAAACAAGTTTCCCACTCTCCTACACCGAATAGCCTGAAGCCACAGGGCTCTTCTCACAGGCTCTATTTCCCTATGTGGAAGCATTGCAAACCGTAGGTCTGGATTTTTGACCTGGCTACATGTACATTGAACAACACAGCAGCTTTTCGGCATGTTTTGTTATTTCTGTATAACAAAACATCTACGACGAAGTTGCCTCTTTTACAATGGGGGTCAATATGAAAGAATGTTAGTTTCCCCCAATTTGTAGGCGTGGTCGAGGGGAATTCCTTATTATTACGTGAATACCTACTGGGACTATGGTTTGTCAGTGCTGTGATAAGATATTGTGTAAAGTAATGCATTTGAAATTAACTGCCAATATGCCAACATTCCATTCAAACAATGCAGTCAATCCACAGCCATGCTCTGGCTGAAATCAGTTCATGATAGGATATTATAAACTGTGTGGTTTGATCCTTGAATGCTGATTGGCTGAAAGTCGTGGTATATCTGATTTTATTTTTATTTTTTACTGTTCTCACTGTTCTAATTACGTCGGCAACCAGTTTATAATAGCAATAATGCACCTCAGGTGTTTGTGGTTGCGTCGTGCATAAGAAAAGCCCTTAGCCATGGTATATTGGCCATATACCACACCCCCTCGGGCCTTATTGCTTAAATAGCACTCACAGCTTTCTCAAGAAAACAAAAAATTGACACATTTATGGTCTGTTTACATATATTTTAGGGGCTATTTATACAGCAAATTGGTATAAACCCAATATAAACTGTATTTGTAATATATGAAAATATTTTAGGTTGACAATAATTATATTACACAATTTCTGATATATATTACATGCCTTACTTTTATTTTCCTGCATAAGTAAAATCAGAATTATGCCTCTACTGCCAATAATTCCAATTAGGCTGGTTTGGATTTCTCCCAGACCAAAATGCCTGCTATTTTATCCCATTCTGGAAATGTTAGGGTTCATGACATAGCCCCCTATAGCAATTTAATAGGACCTCTATGTTAATACCATGTGAGCCACTGCATTGCACTGCACTTCACTCCACTCTCTCCTACTAAAAAGAAAATACGTTTTACGATCTGAATTCTTAATTCAGATCGTAAAACGTCTTCTTCTTTTTTTGTCAATATATGGCTACACTACATGCAGACTAGACAGACCCTGGTATTTGCCTTGTCAGTGCTAATTCTACCAATTTCAAAGGGCTGTTGCAGTCTCATATTTACGGTAATAAATACTTACGTCACGAGTTGAACGGAAGTGCGATTGCATTGCGCACGGATCATCTGCTGAAAACATTGGGAAGATCTCAATTGCATTCTTCTCGGGTCCTCTCTCTTCGTCTCATTCTCAAAACCCATTGGAGCAGAAGATCAGAGGGGCGGGACCTCTGGCTTTCTCGTCATATGGGTTTAGAGAAGGCGACAAGGAGAGAGGACGCGAGGAGAATACAATTGAGATTTTCCCATTGTGGCCGTTTTTCAACGTTACGTATTGTTTATTGCACATTAGCTTGGAAATTGTAGACTATTTACTTCATACAGAGAATATAAATCTGTAATTTGGATTGGACAAGATGGCCAGCTGCAATTTTCAGGCGCAGTTGGTATCCATTATGGAGGTGTTAGCTAAAGCAGCTGTAGCAGAAATAAACAAACGTGTTGATGATAGCTGTGCAGTTATACGTTTGGAAATTACCCAAAGCCAGCAAGATATTGATGCTCTGAAAAGGAAGTGTCAAATGATGGAAAGCGAGCTGAAGAAGACACGAGTCAGGAGAAAAGGTAGTAGATGTGTTATTCATGATAAATTGTGTGTGTGAATATCTGACCGAATACAATTGTTTTTTCTTTTTTTTAACCCATGGCATCAGAGAGATCTTCATATCCAGTCAATATTGTTTTGAACAAGCAGAGGAGTAGCTCACAGTGGAGAGACGCAGAGATGGCTGTTGGAGAGGACTCTCAACCCCAGGTGTGATACATCACCTTTTACAATTACAGAGACCTGACCTCTTGAATCAATTATCTTATTGGAATATCAGGAGAATTTAGTTTTTGTGTGATTCATTAATACCAAAAGGGTTATATATGGTGTGTGTCCAGAGTAATAACCTCAGTCTCCTGTTACAGCCTACAGATGTGGAGCAGAGAACAGAGACTGAACACATACTGATCAAAGATGAGGAGACAGCAGAGGACGTGTGGAAGACTGACCCTCAGGAAGAGCTTATGATCACTGGAGAGGGTGGGTGTGACCTTATGGGGTACTGCTCTGTCTGTCTATAATTTGTTAGTCGCTCTGGATAAGAGCGTCTGCTAAATGACTTAAATGTAAATGTAAATGTATGGAAAACTATGTAGGGGTACTGCGCTGTCTGTCTATGGAAGACTGTGTGAGTGTGGTGGTATGTACGTTCAGTGGCGTCAGTTCAGCTAAACCTAGGGCAGGGGCAGGGGTTCATAAACATGTTGATATCTGAAAATTCTCGTGACCCCAACCATGTGAAAAAAAGTATGTAATTAACAGCCAATGTTAACTTTTTTTATTTGCGGCTATGGCAGTCAATTGAAAAACATTCTAACAGTATTTCTGATTGTCTTCTCAACACACCATCACATATGTTTAATGTGGGGCTATGACAATCAATTGCAAATTAGTCTGACATAGTGTATCATATCTCGCCACCACTAATGAGATGGGTGTTCTTGATGCATGTCGCGTTGGAGATTCTCAAAGTCAGGGGGCGTGGTCGACAGTGCGCAACTCGTCTCTGCTGTCACATCAACCTGGACGAGAACACTGAATCCAGCTTCACACAGATATGAGCTTGCGAAGGGGACCATGAGTGCTTTCAAGACAACTGGGAACTCGTAAAAATACAAGGTCAAATCATGACGTCAGTGATCTTCAGGTCGGAAAGTAGGAGCTCTAGAAAGAGGCCCGAGTTCCCGAGTTGGAATTCCAAGGATGTTTTGGGAAGTTTAAGATAATTTACTGCATTTCTACATAATTTAAAAACTCTAAAATGCTACTTGGAGGACAGCAAAAACAAACAAAAATGACCATAGCCATTCATTATCATCGCAATGTTAGGTTTAAAGGTCTGTGGAACGGCATATACTGTACAATATCAACCACTACTCAACCTCATCATAAATAGACTCATTTACTTGTGGAAGGGCGCATACAGTGCAACATGAAATAGATGCATAATAGACAAATTCCGACATCCATAGGTGGCACATGAGTTTGAAGTTTGGGGAAGCTATTTCTTCACCATAAAATTGCACCTTGATAATAAAGGATTACATGCATCTATTGTCGCATTTGCAGACTAATGTAAGATAGGCTACTATTCCTAATGTGATGAGTTGATTGCATAGTCATAATTTAATATAACTCAATCACTGTTAGCAAAACAGAGAGTTTTGAACAATGCATGCCTGAGCACGTAGTGACATAGAGTAGGCCTAATCAGAGACGTTTCTTCTCCTTTCTTTGCAGAGGAAAAATGTGGCCTTTTATAAACACATTTCATGCAATTCTACTATACTTTATATGACTGGAGACATAAGCAACATCTTTTTTAATATGACACAAATTAGTAGCCTAATCTGCTTACTGACAAACAAACATATCAGTAAAAATGTCCTTGTCTTGAATGCAACCATCTAATCTAAGCCTAAGAAAGTGTGAGACATAAATTGTACAATATGACGCCCATCTAGCCTGTAGGAGGATATTATTTGTCACAACAACAAAAAACTTTACAGTGGTACTGATCCAATGATAAAGACAGTGAATATACGCACTCACCAGGGATATGGCCGATGCGCTCTGCTGGTGCCATTTAAGATAAGAGACTGTTCGCTCAATTGGGAGTTGAGAATTTGATAACTAGAGACAGATTAGTATCTTTTCTTTGTCTTCTCTTTTCAGCAATAGCCATTTGCTTTCTAAACTATGTTTTTCCTACGATTTGTATTTTAAAATATTGCGATAGGCATATGCCTATTTAACTGCTTTTCACTAACCACTGCAACTCGACAATCAGCTATTTTGTAGGATATTTGCCGAACACGCTGACCAAATTGTGCGTTGTTAAAACAGCTTAAAAAAAAAAAAAAAGCTAATGATCCTCTGTGGCCAAGTCATGCTCTCTGGTGTAGTATTTTGGTCAGGGAGTTTGTCAACCATAGACCTAGTCGGTATTAGATAGAACGTTGAGACCCTGCCTGTGGGGAAAACAACCTGTGGTTACCTAGGTTACCCCATTGGCTCATAGCAAAAACTTGACCTTTTTCAAAAACAACTTTCTTGTTGTCTGCTTGTTTTAGTCAATTACAAAACTACATTTAAAAAAAGTACAACGTCTAAAGAATACCTTTCAACATTGTCTGCTCACTAGCATTCTCACTACTTAGAAAAACATAATATTGTAAGGCTTCCCTCATGCCCCTTTTCATGACGATGCTAGCAGCCACTTGAGTGAGTGCTAGCTAGCTACCGACCGGAACACGAAGCTAGCCAAGACCAACAACACAAACGGACCATACAGCTACAAGTAGGGAGTGGAGTTACAAACGGACTGTACTAAACAAGTTTCCCACTCTCCCACACCGAATAGCCTGAAGCCACAGGGCTCTTCTCACATGCTCTATTTCCCTATGTGGAAGCATTGCAAACCGTAGGTCTGGATTTTTGACCTGGCTACGTGTACAATATGTCTCCTGAGTGGCGCAGTGGTCTAAGGCACTGCATCGCAGTGCTAACTGTGCCACTAGAGATCCTGGTTCGAATCCAGGCTCTGTCGCAGCCGGCCGCGACCGGGAGACTCATGGGCGGCGCACAATTGGCCCAGCGTCGTCCAGGGTAGGGGAGGGAATGGCCGGCAGGGATGTAGCTCAGTTGATAGAGCATGGCGTTTGCAACGCCAGGGTTGTGGGTTCGATTCCCACGGGGGGCCAGTATAAAAAAATAGGTATTCACTAACTGTAAGTCGCTCTGGATAAGAGCGTCTGCTAAATGACTAAAATGTAAATGTAAATGTACATTGAACAACACAGCAGCTTTTCGGCATGTTTTGTTATTTCTGTATAACAAAAAATCAACGTCGAAGTTGCCTCTTTTACAATGGGGGTCAATATGAAAGAATGTTATTTTTCCCCAATTTGTATGCGTGGTCGAGGGGAATTCCTTATTATTACATAAATACCGACTGGGACTGTGGTTTGCCAGTGCTGTGATAAGATATTGTGTAAAGTAATGCATTTGAAATTAACTGCCAACATTCCATTCAAACAATGCAGTCAATCCACAGCCATACTCTGGCTGAAATCAGTTCATGATAGGATATTATAAACTGGGTGGTTTGATCCCTGAATGCTGATTGACTGAAAGTCGTGGTATATCTGACCGTATACCATTGGCATGAAAAAATGTAATTTTTACTGTTCTCACTGTTCTAATTACATTGGTAACCAGTTTATAATAGCAATTTATTTCTGTGTAGGCACAAGTAATTTTGTAGGTAATTTTGGCAAATTCAATTTATTGGACTGACATCAATGTGAAAGTAACCATTGCATAAAACAGTTGGCCACAAGGCCGACTTGAATTGCCAACATCAAATTCAAAGCAATGGCCCACTGCCTAAATGGCTGACCGGCAAAGCAAACTGTCTGGCACTCACTCTGCTCTCTGAGAGAAAAATGTGCAGGCTGGCAGCTTCTCTCCGAGCGATGCCCCCCGTGGTCCTAAAGCCAGCCATCAATGTGCTAAACAGCTGTTGCATTTGAATCGGGATTGGAATGATTTAGTCTACTTTTTTGTAGCCTACTTTTAAATGTTTGGTCTTGAGCTAGGGCATAGTGACTGCCATACCCAACTGACACCCCTGTGTGTGTGCCAAATTGCTACATTGGTGTTGGGTGTTTTATGTTCTGGCATAAGGAGAGCACATACTCACACAGTGAGTTCTAAAGCAGTCATGTTTTGCAACCGTTAAGGGTCTTCTGTAATGTTTATTTTATGTTTATCCCCAAATCTTTAGAGTCGGGTTCCAAGCCTGGGCAACCACCATCCTTTGAGCAACGGCACTGTGATGAGGACTTCATCACACAATCCAACATATCTCCTGAAGACTCAGTGGAACATTGCCCCAATTCTGATGGTCCAGAGGAACCAGGAACACTCCGGCCCGCGTCTACAGAGGTGTTCAGGACAGAGCAGCACAGGCCAGCCGAAGACGAGGACTCACTAGAGCTAGTGATGGTGAAGGATGAGAAAGAGGAGGAGCTGGATCAGACCACAGCCCTGGCAGGGCCTGACCAGTTTGTCATGGATGAGACTGATGGGCAGCTGTGGACCTCTGTGGATCCAGGCAGAGACACTGGCCACCCAGATTTCTCCTTTCATGCCACAGAGGAGTACTCTCAGAATATCTCAATTTTTCCATCTCATAGTGGGCTGCCATCCGTTCCTACTATGACAGATGATGTAGGGCCATCGTTTCACTCTTCTATAGGGAAACCACATGCTAACATGTTCAGTGCAGCAGCACACATGAAAAGACATGTCAGGACATTGGCTGATGAGACTAGACAACAGATGCCAGAGGGACAGAGCAGCGAGAGACTGAACTCAAATAATGAGGGAAATAATTTAGCTCTACAGCCAAGGCAGCATCAGTACAGGGCTTCGGAAGCAACAGCGAGATCGAGTGAGGGCATGACAGGGTCAAACATGGCCACCACCTCCACCTTCTCTGGATACAGCCTGAGTCGCAGTAGTTTTAACATGGTGAAGAGAATGAGGACTCAGTGGAGGTCGGGTGGTACCACCGAGAGGCGTTTCAGCTGCACCTTCTGTGGGAAGAGCTTCCAGCGTTTCAGCCAGCTCAAAGAACACCTCCGGAGTCACACCGGAGAGAAACCGTACACCTGCGAACAGTGTGGAAGGAGTTTCACCAAGCAGTGCAACCTGATCAGACATGCTGTGGTCCACAGCGGGGAGAAGCCTTACGAGTGCACACAGTGTGGGAAATGCTTCACCCGGCGCTCCAGTATGAAGTCACATCAGAGAACTCACATAGGAGAGAGTCCATTGTCTCAACATGTGGTACCCGCATACCCTAGGGATCCACACACAAGTGTAATGTTGTCTCAGACCAGATGGAACAAATAGGAACAAAGTTGCATAATTTTTCGGTAATATTTTCAAGGTATTTTGAGACATTTTGACAAGCTTTTCCTCTCAATAGATTTTTTAAAATGGTTGTCATGTTTGACTGTTGACGGCGCCTCACTTTCATAAAAAAAAACTATTTACAACTAGTAACAATGTGTATTTGTACCACAAAATCATAAAAAACATGTTTATATTCAATAAAAAATAAAAAATGTTAGTCAATCTGCACTTTTAGATCAATAATACAGTAGGGGCCATTTAGTATGTATTGTCTAGTTAGTGTTTGTCTATCTGGGATGTCACTTTCCACAAGGGGACAGTCTTATGTCAGATCAGGTTAATAACTCAACTCAACTTGATTTCTCAAGTTATATTTTCACCTTACTCTGCTCTGCTGCCTTAAAATGTTAAAGGTGCACTATGCAGAAATCACTCCGCCATTTCCTGGTTGCTAAAATTCTAATGGTTTGCCTAATTTCAGTTTGTGACAAAACAAGCAAGTATAGTGTAAAGAATCATTGTACAATCTAAACCGCTGTGAAATATATTTTCCATAACCAAAAATATTGTATTTTCAGCTGTTTGAAGCTGGTGTACAAAACCGAAAGTAAAAGAAGCAAAAATGAAACTTCAGCATGGGAAGAAAAAAAAATAGCGCACATAGAACAGATCTACCGCTTCTTAGACTTGCTTTCAATGAGAATGTCATATCTATAACTCGCATTTCTATGTGAGTTTGGTCGCGTCGCCCAAAAAGTTACATATTGCAGCTTTAAGTTATATGTCAACTCAAAACTAGGCAATCAAATATTTGTTTAAGTATAATTGGCTATACATGTTCATACAGCTTCACATCTGTGTACATTGTCTAATCTAACACTACACCGGTACTGTATAAAACTGGTAATCTGAATCGAAGATCATTAGATACTGTAGATATCTAAATAGATAAGAGAAATTGATTGACATGATTGGTAGTTTGAATGATTTACTGGTTCATTGATTTGCCAGTCAACAGAGGCGGAGATAATGGTGGAGATATACAGAAAGAGAATGTTAGAGAAAAGGAGAGACTCAGGAAGTCAACAGGGGAAGTTTAGTGGTTTCTTGTGTCATCGCTTGCTGCTGCTTGGTTGTGCCTGTGCAGAGTGAAGGTAGGAACAGTCTTAACTCTCTTACTCTTTCTTATTATTGTGTTTACCTCTAAGTCACCCCGAAAGTGGAGAAGAGGAACAGTGACAGTGTGTTAAAGGTGGGATGGTAGGGGTCAGGGGGATGGAGAGGTGGGGTCAGGCTCAGAGGCTTCATGTTCTACGACAGGCCTACAGTCACATTGTACAGTTAAATTGACTTCCTCTGCAGTGAGAGGGACACGAGTGGCCAGGAGAAGAGGGCCTCTATTGGTCAAAGAGAACAGCCAGAGTCGTGGTTTGGGGTGTCAGGGTGTCCATCAACATAGGAAGACTAGACTTGATTGAATTTTAAGTGTCCCCAGATCACAGCACTGAGAGGGCGACTGGGAGTATTGGGGCTAAGGGTGTGGCCTGTGTATTTTGTGAAGAAATATATTTGGGGAAAGTGAAGAGTGATGTATGCTGTAGATTGTGAGCGATGCACAGTTTGATTTTAAATGATCACATTAAGTGTTGTGTTGGTGTACGCATATTGAGAGGATGATTTTGCTGGTTTTTTACTTTACAGAGTGCCACAAACACAACAAAAGACAGCATGACCCAGCAGAATGGATTAAAACACAGCTCAGCATAGCACAGTAAAGTAATACACTTCACAGAGTTAAACAAAAAAGCACAATAAAATCCAATGAAGAAAACAACACAGCGTATAATATGAACAGCACATTGTAAATGTATATGAAATCCTCATGGTCACGTTACCATTGACCAATTCATACAGAAAATACATATATTAGACACACATATACACACATAGTTGACAACAGGGCTGGATGTGAGAGGTTGAGGCAGGAGAAAATAAGAGATGCGGAGACTCCGGAGAAAAGGAGGGAACAATGAGAAAGTGTTTGGCTGTGACCTGTTGGACCACCTGGCTACAAATTGTCAGGAGAGTAAGTCCCAAGTTCCCTCAGTCTGTTAGAATATGTTATATCTGAATATGTTAAATATTAGCATCCTGTTGTTTATCCCTGTCAGTTCTGTAGTATTATCATCTTGTCAACCTCTCAGTTCCCCAGGTGCTGCGAAGCTGCAGTGAATTCATTGAGGAGCATGGGGTTGTAGATGGGATCTACAGGCTATCTGGGGTGTCATCCAACGCACAGAAACTAAGGTAAGTGTGTGTGTGTTTGTGTCTCGTGTGTATGGACGCTCCCACGCGCTTGCATGAGTCTGTGCGTTTGTGTGTGGTCAAGTACAGCAGTGAAATGTAATGTGTTTGTCTCCAAACAGGGGTGAGTTTGACAGTGAGGGGACCCCAGATCTCAATAAGGATGTGTACCTGCAGGACATTCACTGTGTCAGCTCTCTCTGCAAGGCCTACTTCAGAGAGTTGCCTAATCCGCTCCTCACATACCAGCTCTATGACAAATATGCTGTGAGTACCTGTCTTAGTACATTACTTGATCGTAATTCAGATACATGGACACCAGGGTTGCATTCAGTAGGAGCGAAAAAGAGAGCATTTCTGACACAGAAAACAAGGAGTTTTTCTATTGGACATGTTCAGGTATGTTCAAAATGTCAAAATGTTTTCTCCTATTTCATACCCACTGAACAGGACCCAGCGTTAAAGAGATTGAACGGGATCTTAAGCGCTTACAAATTCGTACAATATGAATTGGAATTTGTATAATTCGAATTGCAGGAGGGGAAAAAGTTCTTATTTTTATTAAACATTTTTGCAGGATGTAACATATCATACGAAATGGATGACGTTGTACACAATTGTAAAACAAAATTGGGGACCCGTGTTTGGCTTCTGAGCGCTACTTTCAAAAACTACTGGCTGACATTATACAAAACCTTTTAGAACACATCTTTAAGATGGCATATGGCTTTATGTATCAACCTCACACACCACTTTCCCCCTAGGAAGCTGTGGCAATTCAGCTGGAGGAGGAGAGGCTAGTGAAGATCAAGGATGTGCTGAAGGAGTTACCTGCTCCCCATTACAGGTAAACCTCCACCTATTCAGCTTATATAGAGAAAGAGTAAATGTTTGAAATGTGTAACCAGTGTGAAATGGCTAGTTAGCGGTGCACGCTAGTAGCATTTCAATCAGTGACGTCACTTGCTCTGAGACCTTGATGTACTTGTTTCCCTTGCTCTGCAAGAGCCACGGTTTTTGTGGATGAGGCTTCGTTGGAGGCATTTGTTAATGTGTTCAGAGGGTCCCTGGTTTGAGCCCAAGTTGGGGCAAGGAGAGGGATGGAAGCAAAACTATTACATACATACAAGTTTTGGACACAGCTACTCATTCAAGGGTTTTTCTTTATTTTTTACTATTTTCTACATTGTAGAATAATAGTGAAGACATCAAAACTATGAAATAACACATATGGAATCATGTAGTAACCAAAAAGTGTTCAAATCTAAATATATTTTAGATGCTTCAAAGTAGCCACCCTTTGCCTTGATGACAGCTTTGCACACTCTTGGCATTCTCTCAACCAGCTTCACCTGGAATGCTTTTCCAACAGTCTTGAAGGAGTTCCCACATATGCTCAGCACTTGTTGGCTGCTTTTCCTTCACTCTGCGGTCCAACTCATCCCAAACCATCTCAATTGGGTTGAGGTCGGGTGATTGTGGAGGCCAGGTCATCTGATACAGCACTCCATTACTCTCCTTCGTCAAATAGCCCTTACACAGCCTGGAGGTGTGTTGGGTCATTGTCCTGTTGAAAAACAAATGATAGTCCCACTAAGCGCAAACCAGATGGGATGGCGTATCGCTGCAGAATGCTGTGGTAGCCATGCTGGTTAAGTGTGCCTTGAATTCTAAATAAATCACAGACAGTGTCACCAGCAAAGCACCATCACACCTCCTCCTCCATGCTTCACGGGGGAACAACACATGTGGAGGTCATCCGTTGACCTACTCTACATCTCACAAAGACACGGCGGTTGGAACCAAAAATCTCATATTTTGTGGTTTCTTTGCAGCAATTCGACCATGAAGGCCTGATTCACACAGTCCCCTCTGAACAGTTGATGTTGAGATGTGTCTGTTACTTCATTCATTTGGGCTGCAATTTGTGAGGCTGGTAACTCCAATAAACTTATCCTCTGCAGCAGAGGTAACTCTGGGTCTTCCTTTCCTGTGGCGGTCCTCATGAGAGCCAGTTTCATCATAGCGCTTGATGGTCTTTGCGACTGCACTAGAAGAAACTTTCAAATGTTCCGTATTGACTGACCTTAATGTCTTAAAGTAATGATGGACTGTTGTTTCTCTTTGTTTATTTGAGCTGTTCTTGCCATAATATGGACTTTTACCAAATAGTGCTATCTTCTGTATACCAACCCTACCCTGTCACAACACAACTGATTGGCTCAAATGCATTAAGAAGGAAAGAAATTCCACAAATTAACTTTTATCAAGGCACACCTGTTAATTAAAATATATTCCAAGTGACTACCTCATGAAGCTGGTTGAGAGAATGCCAAGAGTGTGCAAAATTGTCATCAAGGCAATCAAGGTGGCTGCTTTGAAGAATCTCAAATAGAAAATATATTTTGATTTGTTTAACACTTTTCTGGTTACTACATGATTCCATATGTGTTATTTCATAGTTTTGATGTCTTCATTATTCTTCTACAATGTAGAAAATAGTAAAAAATAAAGAAAAACCCTGGAATGAGTAGATGTGTCCAAACTTTTGACATATATTACATGGCTGGAACCATCTGTTTGTAACTAGAGGGACTGTACATTTTGCCATGTGTAGTTTTTCTTCAATAGTTTCAACTGTTTTCAAACTAACTATAGAATTAAACCACCTCCCTGTCTTTCTGCCCCTTCTCCTTCTCCCTGGTTTCTCAGAACTCTAGAGTTCCTGATGCGTCACCTTGTCAAAATGGCTTCTTATTCCTCACACACCAACATGCATGCCCGGAACCTCGCCATTGTTTGGGCTCCAAACCTTCTCAGGTGTGTGTGTATCTACATGAGAGAGAAATACATGAACTAGATAGAGATAGTTTAAACAGTGTGTTTGCATTGCTCAATGTTGTTTAATCCTCTGAGGTTGTTTGCAGGTCAAAAGACATTGAGGCGTCAGGGTTTAACGGTACTGCAGCCTTCATGGAGGTGAGGGTCCAGTCCATCGTAGTGGAATTCATCCTCACCCACGTGCCCCAGCTGTTTCCTGATTCAGGTATCTCTCTCTCTCTCTCTCTCTCTCTCTCTCTCTCTCTCTCTCTCTCTCTCTCTCTCTCTCTCTCTCTCCTCTCTCTCCTCTCTCTCCTCTCTCCTCTCTCTCCTCTCTCTCGACACATTTGGCAGGAGGTTTGGAAGTTTCCACCTCATTTTGTGGGCAGTGTGCACATAGCCTGTCTTCTCTTGAGAGCCAGGTCTGCCTACGGTGGCCTTTCTCAATAGCAAGGCTATGCTCACTGAGTCTGTACATAGTAAATGCTTTCGTTAAGTTTGGGACAGTCACAGTGGTCAGGTATTCTGCCACTGTGTACTCTCTGTTTAGGGACAAATAGCATTCTAGTTTGCTCTGTTTTTTTGTTAATTATTTCCAATGTGTCAAGTAATTCTCTTTTTGTTTTCTCATGATTTGGTTGGGTCTAATTGTGTTGTTGTTGTTGTCCTGGGGCTCTGTGGGGTCTGTTTGTGTTTGTGAACAGAGCCCCAGGACCAGCTTACTTAGGGGACTCTTCTCCAAGTTGATCTCTCTGTAGGTGATGGCTTTGTTATGGAAGGTTTGGGAATCGCTTCCTTTTAAGTGGTTATAGAATTTAACGGCTCTTTTCTGGATTTTGATAATTTGCGGGTATAGGCCTAATTCTGCCCTGCATGTATTATTTGGTGTTTTTCATTGTACACTGAGGATATTTTTGCAGAATTCTGCATGCAGTGTCTCAATTTGTTGTTTGTCCCATTTTGGGAATTCTTGGTTGGTGAGCGGACCCAGACCTCACAACCATAAAAGGGCAATGGGTTCAATAACTGATTAAAGTATTTTTAACCAGATCCTAATTGGTATGTCAAATTTTATGTTCCTTTTGATGGCATAGAAGGCCCTTCTTGCCTGGTGGAAGTTACCTGTGGCGCTGATGTTTAGGCCAATGTATGTATCGTTTTTTGTGTGCTCTAGGGCAACGGTGTCTAGATGGAATTTGTATTTGTGGTCCTGGCAACTGGACCTTTTTTGGAACACCATTATTTTTGTCTTACTGAGATTTACTGTCAGGGCCCAGGTCTGACAGAATCTGTGCAGAATATATAGGTGTTGCTGTAGGCCCTCTTTGGTTGGTGACAGAAGCACCAGATCATCAGCAAACAGTAGACATTTGACTTCAGATTCTAGTAGGGTGAGGCCGGATGCTGCAGACTTGCCAATATTAACCGCACACTTGTTGTTTGTGTACATGGATTTTATAATGTTGTGTTTTTCCCCCAACCCCACTTTCCATCAATTTGTATAGCAGACCCTCATGCCAAATTGAGTCAAAAGCGTTTTTGAAATCAACAAAGCATGAGAAGACTTTGCCTTTGTTTTGGTTTGTTTGTTTGTCAATTAGGGTGTGCAGGGGAATACGTGGTCTGTCGTACGGTAATTTGGTAAAAAGCCAATTTGACATTTGCTCAGTACATTGTTTTCACTGAGGAAATGAAGTAGTCTGCTGTTAATGATAATACAGAGGATTTTCCCAAGGTTGCTGTTGACGCATATCCCACGGTAGTTATTGGGGTCAAATTTGTCTCCACTTTTGTGGATTGGGGTGATCAGTCCTTGGTTCCAAATATTGGGGAAGATGCCAGAGCTAAGGATGATGTTAAAGAGTTTAACTATAGCCAATTGGAATTTGTGGTCTGTATATTTTATCATTTCATTGAGGATACCATCAACACCACAGGCCTTTTTGGGTTGGAGGGTTTGTATTTTGTCCTGTAGTTCATTCAATGTAATTGGAGAATCCAGTGGGTTCTGGTAGTCGTTAATAGTTGATTCTAAGATTTGCATTTGATCATGTATATTTTTTTGATGTTTGTTCTTTGTTATAGGGCCAAAAAGATTGGAGAAGTGGTTTACCCACACATCTCCGTTTTGGATAGATAGTTCTTCGTGTTGTTGTTTGTTTAGTATTTTCCAATTTTCCCAGAAGTGGTTAGAGTCTATGGATTCTTCAATTACATTAAGCTGATTTCTGACATGCTGTTCCTTCTTTTTCCGTAGTGTATTTCTGTATTGTTTTAGTGATTCACCATAGTGAAGGCGTAGGCTCAGGTTTTCTGGGTCTCTATGTTTTTGGTTGGATAGGTTTCTCAATTTCTTTCTTAGGTTTTTGCATTCTTCATCAAACCATTTGTCACTGTTGTTACTTTTCTTAGGTTTTCTGTTAGAGATTTTTAGATTTGATAGGGAAGCTGAGAGGTCAAATATACTGTTTAGGTTTTCTACTGCCAAGTTTACACCTTCACTATTACAGTGGAACGTTTTGTCCAGGAAGTTGTCTAAAAGGGATTGAATTTGTTGTTGCCTAATTGTTTTTTGGTAGGTTTCGACACTACTTTCCTTCCATCTATAGCATTTCTTAATATTATTCACATATGGAATCATGTAGTAACCAAAAAAGTGTTAAACAAATCAAAATATATTTTATATTTGAGATTCTTCAAATAGCCCCCCTTTGCCTTGATGACAGCTTTGCACACTCTTGGCATTCTCTCAACCAGCTTCTTGAGGTAGTCACCTGGAATGCATTTCAATTAACATGTGTGCATTCTTAAAAGTTAATTTGTGGAATTTCTTTCCTTATTAATGCATTTGAGCCAATAAATTGTGTTGTGACAAGGTATGGGGGGGTATACAGAAGATATTCCTATTTGGTAAAATACCAAGTCCATATTATGGCAAGAACAGCTCAAATAAGCAAAGAGAAACGACAGTCCATCATTACTTTAAGACATGAAGGTCAGTCAATCCGGAAAATGTCAAGAACTTTGAACGTTTTTCAAGCACAGTCGCAAAAAACCTCAAGCACTATGATGAAACTGGCTCTCATGAGGACCACCACAGGAATGGAAGACCCAGAGTTGCCTCTGCTGCAGAGGATAAGTTTATTGGAGTTACCAACCTCAGAAATTGCAGCCCAAATAAATGCTTCACAGAGTTCAAGTAACAGACACATCTCAACATCAACTGTTCAGAGGAGACTGTGTGAATCAGGCCTTCATGGTTGAATTGCTTCAAAGAAACCACTACTAAAGGATACCAATAATAAGAAGAGACTTGCTTGGGCCAAGAAACACAAGCAATGGACATTAGACCAGTGGTCTGGAGTCCAAATTGGAGATTTTTGGTTCCAACTGCCATGTCTTTGTGAGTGAACGGATGATCTCCGCATGTGTATTTCCAACCGTAAAGCATGGAGGAGGAGGTGTTATGGTGTGGGAGTGCTTTGCTGGTGACACTGTCTGTGATTTATTTAGAATTCAAGACACACTTAACCAGCATGGCTACCACAGCATTCTGCAGAGGAATGCCATCCCATCTGGTTTGGGCTTAGTGGGACTATCATTTGTTTTTCAACAGGACAATGACCCAACACACCTCCAGGCTGTGTAAGGGCTATTTTACCAAGAAGGAGAGTGATGGGGTCCTGCGTCAGATGACCTTGTCTCCACAATCACCCGACCTCAACCAAATTGAGATGGTTTGGGATGAGTCGGACCGAAGAGTGAAGGAAAAGCAGCCAACAATTGCTCAGCATATGTGGGAACTCCTTCAAGACTGTTGGAAAAGCATTCCAGGTGAAGCTGGTTGAGAGAATGCCAAGAGAGTGCAAAGCTGTCATCAAGACAAAGGGGGGCTATTTGAAGAACCTCAAATATACAATATATTTTTACAGTGAGGGAAAAAATTATTTGATCCCCTGCTGATTTTGTACGTTTGCCCACTGACAAAGACATGAGCAGTCTATAATTTTAATGGTAGGTTTATTTGAACAGTGAGAGACAGAATAACAACAAAAAAATCCAGAAAAACGCATGTCAAAAATGTTATAAATTGATTTGCATTTTAATGAGGGAAATAAGTATTTGACCCCTCTGCAAAACATGACTTAGTACTCACAGAGGTCAGACGTTTCTTGTAGTTGGCCACCAGGTTTGCACACATCTCAGGAGGGATTTTGTTCCAGTCCTCTTTGCAGATCTTCTCCAATTCATTAAGGTTTCGAGGCTGACGTTTGGCAACTCGAACCTTCAGCTCCCTCCACAGATTTTCAATGGGATTAAGGTCTGGAGACTGGCTAGGCCACTCCAGGACCTTAATGTGCTTCTTCCTTTGTTGCCTTGGCCGTGTGTTTTGGGTCATTGTCATGCTGGAATACTCATCCACGACCCATTTTCAATGGCCTGGCTGAGGGAAGGAGGTTCTCACCCAAGATTTGCCGGTACATGGCCCCGTCAATCGTCCCTTTGATGTGGTGAAGTTGTCCTATCTCCTTAGCAGAAAAACACTCCCAAAGCATAATGTTTCCACCTCCATGTTTGACGGTGGGGATGGTGTTCTTGGGGTCATAGGCAGCATTCCTCCTCCTCCAAACACGGCGAGTTGAGTTGATGCCAAAGAGCTCCAATTTGGTCTCATCTGACCACAACACTTTCACACAGTTCTCCAATGAATCATTCAGATGTTCATTGGCAAACTTCAGACGGGATGTATATGTGCTTTCTTGAGCAGGGGGACCTTGCGGGCGCTGCAGGATTTCAGTCCTTCACGGCGTAGTGTGTTACCAATTGTTTTCTTGGTGACTATGGTCCCAGCTGCCTTGAAATCATTGACAAGATCCTCCCGTGTAGTTCTGGGCTGATTCCTCACCGTTCTCATGATCATTGCAACTCTACGAGGTGAGATCTTGCATGGAGCCCCAGGTCGAGGGAGATTGACAGTTATTTTGTGTTTCTTCCATTTGCGAATAATCACACCAACTGTTGTCACCTTCTCACCAAGCTGCTTGGCGATGGTCTTGTAGCCCATTCCAGCCTTGTGTAGGTCTACAATCTTGTCCCTGACATCCTTGGAGAGCTCTTTGGTCTTGGCCATGGTGGAGAGTTTGGAATCTGATTGATTGATTGCTTCTGTGGACAGGTGTCCTTTATACAGGTAACAAGATGAGATTAGAGCACTCCCTTTAAGAGTGTGCTCCTAGTCTCAGCTCGTTACCTGTATAAAAGACACCTGGGAGCCAGAAATCTTTCTGATTGAGAGGGGGTCAAATACTTATTTCCCTTATTAAAATGCAAATCAATTGATAACATTATTGACATGCGTTTTTCTGGATTTTTTTGTTGTTATTCTGTCTCTCACTGTTCAAATAAACCTACCATTAAAATTATAGACTGATCATTTCTTTGTCAGTGGGCAAACGTACAAAATCAGCAGGGGATCAAATACTTTTTTCCCTCACTGTATTTGTTTAACACTTTTTTGGTTACTACATGATTCCATATGTGTTATTTCATAGTTTTGATGTCTTCACTATTATTCTACAATGTAAAAATAAAGAATAACCCTTGAATGAGTAGGTGTTCTAAAACCTTTGACCGGTAGTGTACATACCCAGCGTGCGACAGAGCTGCAGGAGTTGTGACCCGTTTTTGTTGGTTATGTTGTCGTAGTTGTGCCTAGGGGGGCATACGGGGGAGGGAATGCTGTCACCTCCAGGTAGGTGTTTGTCCCCCTGTGTGCTGAGGGTATCAGGTTCTTGTCCAGTTCTGGCATTTAGGTCGCCACAGAGTAGTACATGTTCCTGGGTCTAGAAATGATTGATTTCCCCCTCCAGGATGGAGAAGCTGTCTTCATTAAAGTATGGGGATTTTAGTGGGGGGATATAGGTAGCACACAGGAGGACATTTTTCTCTGTTGAGATAATTTCCTTTTGAATTTCTGACCAAATGTAAAATGTTCCTGTTTTGATTAATTTAATAGAGTGAGTTAGGTCTGCTCTATACCAAATTAGCATACCCCCTGAGTCCCTTCCCTGTTTCACACCTGGTAGTTTGGTGGATGGGACTACCAACTCTCTGTAACCTACCAGCACTCTGATCCTCTCCTCTAGTGCTCTGTTCTTCTCCTGCTGATGTTGTCTCACCACAGTCCAGAGTGCAGATATGTCTCTCTCCACCTCCAGCTCTCCAGGTCTAGTTAAGGGGGTGTTGTTGTGCTGAAATGCTGTCTGGGTCTGTGCTGACTGGAGTGTAATCACTTGCTGTTCCAGCTCCACCTGCCTTACCTCCAGCTGGGTGAATTTATCCATCATTTCAATGAGGGAGTAGTACTCTGTGCTGGGAAGTTGACTTTCCACTTGGGGTTGCTCGTCTGTGGGGTTATTTAATGAAGAGGTCTGGTCTGACCCGCTCGGGGTGGGGGTATCGTTCTCAAGGGAGAGCCTTTTTTTTTTTTTTTTTGTCATTTAGCAGACGCTCTTATCCAGAGGGACTTACAGGAGCAATTAGGGTTAAGTGCCTTGCTCAAGGGCATATCGACAGATTTTTCACCTAGTCGGCTCGGGGATTAGAACCAGCGACCTTTCGGTTACTGGCACAACGCTCTTAACCACTAAGCTACCTGCCGCCCCGTCTGTGGGGTTATTTAATGAAGAGGTCTGGTCTGACCCGCTCGGGGTGGGGGTATCGGTCTCAAGGGAGAGCTTCTCCTGCTGAGTTATTTATTTGATTAGGTGAAAGTCCAGCTGGAACTGTTTGGGGTTGCCCTGTACCAATACTGTTCCAGATTTATAGAGATTTACAGTGGGGAGAACAAGTATTTGATACACTGTCGATTTTGCAGGTTTTCCTACTTACAAAGCATGTAGAGTCTGTAATTTTTGTCATAGGTACACTTCAACTGTGAGAGACGGAATCTAAAACAAAAATCCAGAAAATCACATTGTATGATTTTTAAGTAAATAATTTGCATTTTATTGCATGACATAAGTATTTGATACATCAGAAAAGCAGAACTTAATATTTGGTACAGAAACCTTTGTTTGCAATTACAGAGATCATACGTTTCCTGTAGGTCTTGACCAGGTTTGCACACACTGCAGCAGGGATTTTTGCCCACTCCTCCATACAGACCTTCTCCAGATCCTTCAGGTTTCGGGGCTGTCGCTGGGCAATACGGACTTTCAGCTCCCTCCAAAGATGTTCTATTGTGTTCAGGTCTGGAGACTGGCTAGGCCACTCCAGGACCTTGAGATGCTTCATACGGAGCCACTCCTTAGTTGCCCTGGCTGTGTGTTTCGGGTCGTTGTCATGCTGGAAGACCCAGCCATGACCCATTTTCAATGCTCTTACTGAGGGAAGGAGGTTGTTGGCCAAGATCTCGCGATACATGGCCCCATCCATCCTCCCCTCAATACGGTGCAGTCATCCTGTCCCCTTTGTAGAAAAGCATCCCCAAAGAATGATGTTTCCACCTCCATGCTTCACGGTTGGGATGGTGTTCTTGGGGTTGTACTCATCCTTCTTCTTCCTCCAAACACGGCGAGTGGAGTTTAGACCAAAAAGCTCTATTTTTGTCTCATCAGACCACATGACCTTCTCCCATTCCTCCTCTGGATCATCCAAATGGTCATTGGCAAACTTCAGACGGGCCTGGACATGCGCTGGCTTGAGCAGGGGGACCTTGCGTGCGCTGCAAGATTTTAATCCATGACGGCGTAGTGTGTTACTAATGGTTTTCTTTGAGACTGTGGTCCCAGCTCTCTTCAGGTCATTGACCAGGTCTTGCCGTGTAGTTCTGGGCTGATCCCTCACCTTCCTCATGATCATTGATGCCCCACGAGGTGAGATCTTGCATGGAGCCCCAGACCGAGGGTGATTGACTGTCATCTTGAACTTCTTCCATTTTCTAATAATTGCGCCAACAGTTGTTGCCTTCTCACCAAGCTGCTTGCCTATTGTCCTGTAGCCCATCCCAGCCTTGTGCAGGTGTACAATTTTATCCCTGATGTCCTTACACAGCTCTCTGGTATTGGCCATTGTGGAGAGGTTGGAGTCTGTTTGATTGAGTGTGTGGACAGGTGTCTTTTATACAGGTAACAAGTTCAAACAGGTGCAGTTAATACAGGTAATGAGTGGAGAACAGGAGGGCTTCTTAAAGAAAAACTAACAGGTCTGTGAGAGCCGGAATTCTTACTGGTTGGTAGGTGATCAAATACTTATGTCATGCAATAAAATGCAAAATGAATTACTTAAAAATCATACAATGTGATTTTCTGGATTTTTGTTTTAGATTCCGTCTCTCACAGTTGAAGTGTACCTATGACAAAAATTACAGACTTCTACATGCTTTGTAAGTAGGAAAACCTGCAAAATCGACAGTGTATCAAATACTTGTTCTCCCCACTGTATATTAGCTGACTCAGAGTCCTCGTTGTCTAGTATCCTGAGTTTCCACCCATCGCTAACACCCCCCCTCTTAACAGAGGGGTAGTGTGCTAGTACAGCACTGTGCCATGCCAGGGGATGGTCTGTGTGGAAGATAAGGTTGCTTATGTTCCCATTTTTATAAAAGTCAACAAAAAGTGTCTCCTGATTTCCCATAAGGAGCTTCATTTTGTACTCTTTTCGTGTCTTATCATTCTTTACATACAGAGGGTACTGTATTTTAATTACCTCTGAACAGCGGGAGGGTGCGTCTAAGGCCTCTCCATTTGGTTGGGGTAGACTGTGCGACTCTCCTGCCATTGTTGGGCTCAAGGGCTTTGACACATCTCACTTCACATGTCAGTGCTAATTGAAGTTGCATCTCTTTGTACTAGCAAGCTTGGTAGCCTTAGCATTCAGTCCTTATAAAGTAAAATATATCATTGTAATGTATTTTTCTTTTGGTTTTTGAAAGTAAAAAATAGCTTCAGACTAAACATTACTCACTCAGTTCCAGGTTGGATGGTGTTTTCAGGTTTCTGTTTGTTTGCCAGAGCATTTGCTGTATAGCTTGGGAATAGTGATCCTTGGTAGTAGAAAGCCTTCCAGGTAATTCCAGGTAATTCCGTCCAAAATCAGGTTGTAGGTTTGGAGTTTTGGTTTGTAATGAAGGTTATGTTGTGGAGGGTAGCATCCTGTATATGTCCCTGCCAAAAAATCTAAGTTTATCTAACTCTAAACCTCTCTCTCTTTCTCTCTCTCTCTGTCTCTCTCTCTCTCTCTCTCTCTCTCTCTCTCTCTCTCTGTGTCTGTCTGTCTGTGTCATAGAGAATATACACTCACTCATATTCTCTCATATCTCCTCCCTTTCTTCTTCACCTCCTTATAAAGGTAGTGCTCCGGAGAGTTGTAAGTCGTTCCCAACTCCCTCTATACACAATCCAGAGGAACCTTTCTTCCGGAGCATTCCATTCCAGTTAGGCAACATCAGCCCAGGGGACGGCCCCCCGGCCATGCGCTCCTATCACGCCATCATAGACGGCACAGACAAGTAAGCAAATTAACCAAATAATCAAAACATGGCCAATTTATGACAATTTAGTAGCAGTGAGTAGCAGTACAATGGTTGAGATAGGTAGAGGTTTAATGGTCGCAATGGTAATAGGTAAGCTAGTACTAGGGGGTATAGTTCTTCTTCCATGGACGGGTCACGTGGTGAAGAAAAAGTCCTGGCCCGAGTAACCGAGTAACTGTAATATTCTCTACAGGAGGAAGGGATCTCTCAAGGGCAGGAAGTGGAAGTCCATCTTCAATTTAGGAGGCAGACTCCATGACCCGAGACGAAGGAACAAGAACTCAACCAAAGGTATGCACCCTCTCCATTAAGAATCAGTGCCACACTGATGTTATTATCTTTCAATACAATGCATAGCTTTGCAATGGTAATAATGATTAATTTGAGTTTTACAATCATCTCTCCATTTCTCTGTAGAAAAAGAGAAAACTGTCTTAAGGCCAGCCAAGAGCATGGATTCCTTGAGCTCAATGCCCTATCAGCATGAAGGTACTCCTCCTTCCTTGTTTACCCACTCTTTATTGATTCCTTGTTTAATGTATAGATTTAGGTTAATATGTTTGTAGAGTAATCCATGGATGAAATGAATGTATGCTGTTAAAGCTAAGGCATACTTACATTTCTGTGTTCAGTAGTACTATAGGCTTACACTTATGACAGTTTCATCTGTAGACTAATGTGACTGTTTACCATACCTTACAGGTTCCAGTCAACGACCCCCTTCCACTGTCATGTCCCCCCTGGCTCAGCCCTCTCCTTGTCCCCAAGGTGGTGTGGATGGAGGGGCATCCAGTAGTGGTAGGGATGTGGGCAGCGGATATGCTGTGACCTTCCGGAGGGGTCAGGGGGCTAGTGTGAGTGTAGTGAGCGGGAGCGGGGGAACAACGGGCACATACAGTCGACTGGACAGTCACTGTGGTGGGGGCAACAGGACTGAGGCTCTGCAACCCCCATCCAGATCCCCAGGACTCTCCAGCAAAGCGGACCGGCGGGCAGGGATACACATCTCCGGACCTTTCTCAGTCACCGTCCCCCTTCACATCACATCAGGCCTGGCCTTTGGGGTGCTGCAGGGTGGTGGAGCAGACAGGGGCAACCATAGAGGAGGAGAGGAGAGTGGAGATAAGGGAGAGGGTGGGGAGGGTGAGAGACAGAAGGGAAGGGAGGGTGGGTAGACAGAAGGGAAGGGAGGGTGGGAGACAAAAGGGAAGGGAGGGGGAAAGGCACATCCGAGTAGGAAGTTGTGGGGGAGGACGAGACTGACAGAGTCAAGAGAAGAGATGAAGAGGAGGATGATAAAGTTGAAGGAAAAGAAGAAAGAGGAAAAGAGGAGGAAGCGAATGGGGACTGTGTCTCTAAGCTGTCAGAGGAGAGGGGTGAAGAGAGTCGGGGTGAGGGTGTAGGAGAGGATGCAGTAAAGCCTGAAAATGATGAGGAAGAGGAGGATGAAGAAGGAGAACACATGGGTATGTCTGATCATTCATGTATTTTAACGATCATAATACAATTGTCCAATAAGGGAAGTAAAGCCATGATTGTAGTAGGATTATTGATCCTGTTTGGGTTGAGTTTTCCACACTTTTGTGGAAATTGAATTATTGACAATTGGTGATTTAACAATATAAGTTGGATAGGACTTTTGTGTTAAGCTGTAACATCTACATATAATTGTCAGAAATCAAAGGCTCTGTGCAGACTGCCCTGGATGCCCCAGATATGTCAGGTGTCAGAAATGAGGCAGTTGCCACAGATGTGCCGTACCCGCCGACAATGGTGGAGGACAATGCACAAGTCCAGGACTGTCCACTAGACTTTCAGGATACTTTTGGATTCCTGGACCTCATGGACAGCAGTGCCTCCACCAAGGTGTGTGTGTGTGTGTGTGTGTGTGTGTGCACGTGCACGTGTGTGTTTAATCATTTAGTCATGATCCTAACCTCTCTTCTCCATCCTCTTTCCTCCCAGATGTTCCAGGCGTTCTCAGTGGAGCCTCATCATGGGGAAGATGAGTATGAGGACGAGGTGGAGCAGAGATCCCCTGGACTCTCACATGACAGACCAGACTCTGTCACACAGCCACCTGTAGACACACAGATACAAATACAGACAGGCTGCCAAACAGAGACACATACACTGAGGCAGACACAAACACCCACACACAGACCTCTAAGCTTTGATCAATATGGGCGAGCCAACAAGTCAATGAGTCTGCCTTACATGCCCAGGCCCTTCCTGCCTGCTCTGTCCTCTTCCTCTGAAGAAGAGGATGATGACGACGAAGATGATGATTACGACAGAGAAGATGAGGGGGACGATGATGACATGTTCTGTAAAAGTCTACCGTCTAGTTTGGTGTTCAACAGACTGACATGGAGTGGGCCTCAGACTGATGTGGAGAAGGGTTTGTCCCTCCCTGCTAAGCCCGCACAACAATTGGACAGTGCTTCTGATGACAGACCAATTCCTATGGACCTATCACAGAGTTCTGAGGCCAGAATGCCTCCTGTGCACTTGGACATTGATTCCCCTGATTGCTGTGACCCACCAGAAGAGGTCTTGAGACATAGCAAGGCTGAAGAAGAGAATAGACTGGAAGCGATGGAACTGGTGGAGGAGGAGGATGCAGGACAGGATCCAGACAACCAGGAGAACGACCAGGCAGACACCCCGACGAATACATGCACAGAAAGGTAAGCAGAGGTGGGTTATGAAGTGAATCAAAGTCAAGAACAGTATATCAAAATAAAGGTACATGATAAATGTTACCTGTCATCATAGATCTGATGTGTCTTACTCTTCACCTTACAGCACTGAGATACAAGAAAGTTGTCACTCGGTTGAAACCAGCATGATGGAGGAAGAGGAAACACCAGGTGACCTTGAGAGGGGCCTCGCTTCAGCATACTCATCAACTGACTGTGAGGAGGCCTCACTGCAGACCACTGCAGACAAAGAGGGAGAGGACACTAGAGTTCACCAGCAGCTCGGAGACGAGGAGGAGGACCTGAAGAGTCACTGTGGTGAAGAAGGTATGAATTCAGAGGGTTACAATGGCGACACTGTGAACGAAGCCGAGAAAGCAGATTCACAAGAGCATTTACTCACTGCCTGTCATATAGTTTCCTGTGCTGAAGAGCCAAAGAACATAATCAATGAGCGATCAGAGGAAGTTTCAGCAGGGGGCGCAATGGAGCAGCCTAAAAATAGCACTGAGAGGGAGAGAGAGGGAAAGAAGGAAGATGGAGAGGAGAAGAAGGTAGAGGAAGAGATGGAGGAAAGAGAAGATAGAAATGGGGGAGAATTTAACAAACAAGAAGGAGAGGTAACAAGAACTGAGAGAGAGGAAGATATGGACAAAGGAGAGGAGAGAGATGTATTAAAGGAGATGGAAGAAACAGAGGGGGAGGACATTGAAGTGGAGGCGAAGGAACAAAGAGGAATGATTGAAGAAGAGGAAAGGATAGCAGGTGAGGAAGGGAAAGTAGGAGAAGAGGACATAGAGCAGGAAGAGGTCATTTATGAAGAGATGATGAGCATAGTAGCCAGGGATGACATGATGGAAAGTGGAGAGAGGAAGGGTAGGGAAGGGGAGACTGAGGAAAGTAAAGTTAAGGAGGAGGTGATAGAAACCAAAGAGGGGGAGAGGATTAGAGTACAGCAGAAAGAGACAATGAAAGAGATAAAGGAAGGAGAGAGTAAGGCAAGTGAAGAGATGAGTGCAAAAGAAGAGACGAAGCGAGAGGAGGAAGGAGTGGATACCATGGGAGAGACTGAGGAAGAGGCAGCTGAAGAGGGGATGGAAAATATGTTGATTGATAATGAGAAGCAGAAACAGCACCTAGAGGCACAGCATGTTTTAGAGAGAAGAAAAAGAGATATAGATCTGATAAAGGATGTTGAGGGAGATGAGGAGGGAGATAAAGAGATGGAAGAGGGAGGTGTAATCAGGGACGAAGAAGGAGATAGTATACTTGTGGTCCAACAGGAGACAGAAGAACGTGAATCAACAGGGCCAGATAAGGAGAACGAAGAGAGGGAGAATGGAGAGACAAAAGAGCAACTACAGACACCAACAATAATAGAGGAAAGAGAAGAAGAACTGAAAGAGGTCCAGATAAACAGCAAAGAACTGAATGAGGGACAGAAGGAAGGGAGAGGTAGTAAAGTGGGTTCTGAAAAGGGGGTGGGGAGAGTGCTGGTCAGGTCTAAACAACAAACACCCCCTAAAGTGTATCAAGCAAGATCAGTGCCAATGGTACCACCCAAGCCACATCAATGCCAAATAACTGCACTGAACCTCAGACAACAGCAGCAGAGGGAGAGGAGAGAGGCAGACAGAGACAGGGGGAAAGGAAAGATACACAGGGCTTTGGGACAGCAAGATAAAGAGAGAAAGTTGGAAGGGAAGCCAGAGCATGGCAAAGTCTGCGAGACAGAACAAGGGTGGAATGAGAAAGGGGAAGATGAGGACAGAGGCGAAAGGGAGTGGCAGGCACAGTGGGGAGGGGAGAGGAGGAGAGATGTGTATGAGGGGGGAATGAGAGACATGATGAAGAACAGTCCAATAAGTATGTGTTTTGATGAAGCTGTTGCCATGGGAATCAAGAGAGGGAGAGAGAAAGAGGGCAGTGAGAGGGAGAAACAGAAAGAGTGAGGATATGAAGTACAATAAAGAGAAAGAGGTGGACAAAGACACCAGTAAATGTTGTAGTCATCGACTCTGTCTGGACGGTTAGTATACAACTGATCATTTATATACAATATATAAGTACATTACATTTAAAAAATAAATATATATATATATATATATATATATATATATATATACTCCCTGTATAATTCAGCCTGGGCCTAGAACCGTCCCACTTAGATTCAGGGCAACTGATCCGCCACACTTTATCTCTCTCTCCCCCTCTGTAAATGTCCCCCTTTTTGTTGCTGCTTTTAACCTATTAATGTAACTTACCATTTTAACTGCTTGGTTTTAATCAATCTGCAAAGAGTTGTCAATATACACCAAGTATGGAAATCTCAGTTATCACATCTCATGCATAACCACCATGGGTATTGTTAAGGGTGAGCAAGCAAATGGTGAGAAAGCAAATATAATAACTTCTTATGAGTTAATGATTGCTTACTGATTGTCTGGAGATGTTTTTAAGGACAATGTGTCATTATTTGTATAAATTCCATAAAACAATGCATTTTCAGTTTTTTATTTGTTTTTGTGAATAAACTTATTCTGCAAAGAAAAGTGGTCGTCTTATTTGTGTTTTCAAAAATAATTTTACTAGTAGCTAGCAGACATTAAAACCAGGTAGCTAGGCGTTTATGACGGATTTCAAATAAATATCCCCATATAAGGGCATTTATTAGAAAGTTTATGGTACTTTCTGTCGTCATTTCCGTTATCTATCTTTCCGGATAAAGTTTATTTATTTATTTCACAAACGAATGCTGCTTGAGATCTTCGAGAAGCTTTGCAATAGTAGAAACGATTCTGTTATAAACATTTTACAGAGGCACTAGCACTGCATATTTGTTTCTGTGTAACAACGGTGATTTTATTTGATGAGCAATGTCTAACACTGTTTCTTTTAGTACACAAATAGGCGCAATCATGGATGTGCTAGCAAAGGCAGCTGTTGCAGAAATAACCAAATTTGTAGATGAGGGTACTGTCGTGCTTCGGCTGGAAATGTGTCGGAAAGAAAATGAGATAGAAGGCCTTCAAAATAGTTTACAGCTGATGGAAAGAGAACTGAGGAAAGCTCAAAGGGAAGCAGCAGAACGAGGGACCAATGAGAGGCAACATGCTGAGGGAATTCAGCTTGGAAGTGGGACCTCACAAAAAGGTGAGCGCTCACCCTTAGTTTAGTGCTGTCAAGCAGGGCCCGGTTTCCCAAAAGCATCTTAAAGCTAAGTTCATCGTTAGACCCATATGATCCTATCGTACCATATACCTATGGTTCTAACGATTAACTTAGCCTTTTATACCTAGGACAATGTACCTCATTAGTGTAATCAGGATTTGAGGTGTAGTGAGGTCCGGAAGGTACGCGCCCCCAATTAAAATGCTATTTGGAGAACAGCAAAAATAAGTAAAAATGACCCAAGTCATTATCACCTCTGCTGCTGTAGGTTTATTCACCTCAGTCATCTACAAACACAGCATATTAGCTATACAATTGTAATGTTATACCCTTAAAAGGGGGGAAATATGAAAACGGATTCACACGAACACGTAGCATTAGGTACTGTTCAGTCAGTTGTAATGATGAATTGCATAAAGTCATCAATTATTTACTTGGATATCTCTTTTCCCAAATTACATAGCTTTCGCATTTGTAGTCCTAGGCATTACTAATATACAGGAGTGAAAGGATAATTAATTTCTTCCGGTGCAGGACCTCCAAAATGTTTAATGGGTGTAATCATAGAATTACATATAGAATCCCTATTAATTCAATAGGATCTCTGTGGGCCTAGTCATAAAGATTTGTCATTTAACTTTTTTAATGTATTACATTTTATTGTGGCATAAACACAACCAGTCATCATTTGTTTTAATTATTGTGATTGGCTAATGTTTTACTGGTAAGGCGTACCCCCACAATATTTTTACCGGGACACCGTACCGCCTTACTTTCACCCCTGCTAATATATGCCATTTAGAAGACACTTTTATCCGGAACGACTAACAGTAAAGTGCCACACAAACAGACATCAATGGAGCACACAGATGATTGTGTCACATTCACATTAATTATTAGAATATGACTTACTATTCTGTATTAATATCAGTGATGTAGTGGTAAGAAAAAGGTGGGTAATAAACCCCAGTGGGCGATCGAGATAAGACTAAAAACCACTGATATAAACGTTTTAGAACCGTATTGTTTGCATTTCAATTGCATTTTAATGTAGGCCTATATGGAAAAAAATCCACTGTACTAACCTCTCTGCTTGCTTCCTCTCTCTATGTCCTCTGCTTCCTCCTGTATACATTGCAGCCTGCCTCTGCCTCACCACTGAGCGCCTCATCACTGTCTGTCTCAGTAGCCTACTCTCTATAAAGCAAAGTTATTATGAGAACTTAGTAGCCTATTTTTTGCTCCTGCTGAGGTAGGCTCCGTTTAACAGTAGCTTCTTACTTCATCCTTCTAGCTGGCTAAGTAATACTAGCCAGAGCCCTTCAACATTACTGCAATAGAAGTCTCTGCCGGCAGCTAGCCACCTGACTGACTGACATATCTATAAGTGACTATTTACCAGTTGTGCACTCGTTCTCTGATAGTCGGTTTTTGTTTGTTTGGGGAATGTCTGTAGACATGGCAGGAGTCGCGGGACGGTTTTAAAATTGCCTTTTGTCCGGTATCTCGCAAACACACTGTCAGCAGCATCTCTAGTTACCTACTTGAGCCGACTCTGAGCTGGGCTGGTTCGTTTTACATCTCAGGCCCTCGGGCCTGTGCTGCGAGAGGGCGGGGTTAGCCATTTGAGAGAGTGGTTGCTGCTAAAAAGGCAAAACCGGAAGGCAAATCCGGGAGATGCAGGCGAACATAAACAAACCACTGTTCATGATTCCACTCGTTTGCAAAGAGGCTGGCACGATTAGAACCCAATCAGATCAAGAATATAAGCGCTCTGAGCTTTGATCAACGCTGGGAGCAATATTTAGATGTTGACCCGTAATTGATTTTCTTTGTTGTGTACAAAATATATACACTGCTCAAAAAAATAAAGGGAACACTTAAACAACACAATGTAACTCCAAGTCAATCACACTTCTGTGAAATCAAACTGTCCACTTAGGAAGCAACACTGATTGACAATACATTTCACATGCTGTTGTGCAAATGGAATAGACAACAGGTGGAAATTATAGGCAATTAGCAAGACACCCGCAATAAAGGACTGGTTTTGCAGGTGGTGACCACAGACCACTTCTCAGTTCCGATGCGTCCTGGCTGATGTTTTGGTCACTTTTGAATGCTGGCGGTGCTTTCTAGTGGTAGCATGAGACGGAGTCTACAACCCACACAAGTGGCTCAGGTAGTGCAGCACATCCAGGATGGCACATCAATGCGAGCTGTGGCAAGAAGGTTTGCTGTGTCTGTCAGCGTAGTGTCCAGAGCATGGAGGCGCTACCAGGAGACAGGCCAGTACATCAGGAGACGTGGAGGAGGCCGAAGGAGGGCAACAACCCAGCAGCAGGACTGCTACCTCCGCCTTTGTGCAAGGAGGAGCAGGAGGAGCACTGCCAGAGCCCTGCAAAATGACCTCCAGCAGGCCACAAATGTGCATGTGTCTGCTCAAACGGTCAGAAACAGACTCCATGAGGGTGGTATGAGGGCCCGACGTCCACAGGTGGGGGTTGTGCTTACAGCCCAACACCGTGCAGGACGTTTGGCATTTGCCAGAGAACACCAAGAGTGGCAAATTCGCCACTGGCGCCCTGTGCTCTTCACAGATGAAAGCAGGTTCACACTGAGCATGTGACAGACGTGACAGAGTCTGGAGACGCCGTGGAGAACGTTCTGCTGCCTGCAACATCCTCCAGCATGACCGGTTTGGCGGTGGGTCAGTCATGGTGTTGGGTGGCATTTCTTTGGGGGGCCGCACAGCCCTCCATGTGCTCGCCAGAGGTAGCCTGACTGCCATTAGGTACCGAGATGAGATCCTCAGACCCCTTGTGAGACCATATGCTGGTGCGGTTGGCCCTGGGTTCCTCCTAATGCAAGACAATGCTAGACCTCATGTGGCTGGAGTGTGTCAGCAGTTCCTGCAAGAGGAAGGCATTGATGCTATGGACTGGCCCGCCCGTTCCCCAGACCTGAATCCAATTGAGCACATCTGGGACATCATGTCTCGCTCCATCCACCAATGCCACGTTGCACCACAGACTGTCCAGGAGTTGGCGGATGCTTTAGTCCAGGTCTGGGAGGAGATCCCTCAGGAGACCATCCGCCACCTCATCAGGAGCATGCCCAGGCGTTGTAGGGAGGTCATACAGGCACGTGGAGGCCACACACACTACTGAGCCTCATTTTGACTTGTTTTAAGGACATTACATCAAAGTTGGATCAGCCTGTAGTGTGGTTTTCCACTTTAATTTTGAGGGTGACTCCAAATCCAGACCTCCATGGGTTGATACATTTGATTTCCATTGATAATTTTTGTGTGATTTTGTTGTCAGCACATTCAACTATGTAAAGAAAAAAGTATTTAATAAGATTATTTCATTCATTCAGATCTAGGATGTGTTATTTTAGTGTTCCCTTTATTTTTTTGAGCAGTGTACTTTTATTATTTTTCAAATTAGAAAAAATTACCAAAGTCCAGACCTCAGTGTCCTCATATGTAGTTACGGCCCTGCTATCAAGTCAGGTTACTTGCCCTGTTCAAGGTTTTGTTTTATCGCTTATTTGACACATTTCTAACAATTACATAAACCATCTACTCTACTTCCAGGTAATGAAGAGGACCAGAAATCCCAAGCCACTCCTGTAGAGGACCCAGAGAAGTTCAATGAGCTGCAGAGCTCAGGACACCTTGAGGAGGCGAGGGGTGGACTGGAGTTTCTGGTGAAAGCAGAGCAGGTGGAAAAACATGTAGCCCAGGGAACCATACAAGACCCAGGAATCACAGGCAGTTTGGACTTTAGAATGGATGAGAGAGATAGTCAGCTGTGGTTCTCTGTTACACAAGGACTAAGTGGGAATGATTCCACTCACCCAGATGGGTCTTACACTACAGAGAGATGCTTACAGATGTTTTCCTCTCAGGCAGATCAATATCCCGCTCCCATCCCATCCCATCCTGCTTCCTGCAACTCTTTGTCTACTGCAGAGAAACCGCTTAATGACATTTTCAGCACTGTCCCAGTGAAAGTGGAGCCCGAGTGGCATCCTCTTTATAATGGCGATGCCATGTCTGAGTCCTTTCAAGCTGAGCAGGGGCAGTACAGAGATACTCTGCACCCTTTAGTGATGGAGGGCTTGATTTTACAGCCCAGACTGCAGCAGCCAGGACCTTCTTCACAAGGGCTCATGAGAGCAACTGAGAACACATCTGAGTCAAACTCGCACAACAATGAGCATATTCTTAATAAGAACAGATTGAAAACAAAAAGGATGGTAAATGTTTGGAGAGCTGTACCAAACCAGAAAATGTTCATATGCTCATTGTGTGGAAAGAGCTTCCACCGCCATTGTCAACTTGAAGCACACCAGCACTCTCATGCGGGAGTCAAACCATACAGATGTCTTGAGTGTGGGAAAAGTTTTACGCAGAAAACCAGACTTAAGTCACATCAGAGTGTCCACACGGGTGAGAGACCTTTCAGTTGCAGACTCTGTGGCAAGATGTTTGCAAGGCAGGACAACTGCCAAAGACATGAGCGATTTCACAGTGGACAAAAGCCATTTAGTTGTGTGCAGTGTGGTAAAAGTTTCACGGTTCTCGGTAACCTCAAAATACATCAAAAACATCAATGTAAATTTGCCAATGTCATAATGTAAGAATGCATGTTGTTCAGTGTTTTCCTCAGCGTTGTACAGTTAACCCTTTTAACTGTCTCTTCTTGAAAAACATGTTGAACAATTATTTCACCTTAAAACCCTATTACTTACAACTCAAATAAGAACTTCAAATTGTTTTTTTTCCAACTTGATGTTTATTTATGAAATTACAGAGCTCTACCAGGCGGTTGAGAAGTTAAAAGAGGGAATGCCATATTAGAATTTTACTAATCTCAACAATATTACATAAATTACTTGATATGCTTCAAGGGCTTTATATGAATGTAAGCATTGTTAAATGAGGATGTCAAATTTGAACAAATTGTCATTTTGTGTGTCATACCATGAATTTTCAGGTTGTGTATAGTGCAATCAGGGCCCGCTCCAGCCATAACCGACATAAGCGGTCGCTTAGGGCTCCCGGCCGCGGGGGGGTGGGGGGGACTGTCGGGGTCACAACTTACTATTGAGAGTAAGAATAGTAGAATACACCAGGTGCAATTTAGAAATGTGGTTGTGCACCAGCAGATTTTTCTCTTATTACGTCAGTCACTCAATTTGCTGACAATTACAGAGGAGCTACACCAGGATTACACATGTGCAAACTGAACAGGATGTCAGCGTGGTAACTTTACCTGCTACACCAGCGACATAAACAGATGCGCGCATGGAATTAGAATCAGTAGCGCTCGGTCACTTTTGCAAGGAATATATTGACTTTGCGTCCAATATGGGAAGACCAGTGGAGGCTGCTGGGGGAGGACGGCTCATAATAATGGCTGGAATGGAGCAAATGGAATGGCATCAAGCCATTTGTTTGTATTTGATACCGTTCCACTGAGTCCGCTCCAGCCATTACTACGAGCCTGTCCTCCCCAATTAAGGTGCCACCAACAACCTCTGGGGTAGACTATATGACAACAACCATATTGTCATTACATCAAAAATAAAGTTGAGTAAAAATTCTACAACCAGAGGTATACAAGATGGCGTATTGAATACACAGCGGTACAAATCACCTCAAGATAAAAACATATATTCAATATCAGTAAGTTAGACTAAATATTAACATTTCATATATTCGAGGGTAATAACATTCAATCTGGATAATAACACAAAATAAATTATAAGGCTAGAGAAATGTATCGACAAATATTCCAACAACACGCAACACCCGAACATGACGGAAGATAAACGAGGAGAATCGATCTCCAAGAGAAAACGCGACTCGTCGACTGATACAGATTATTTATGCTTTTCACCACTGGAACTGGTAAGTGTGGAAAGTGACCTGTTGAAGTCGATAAATGAGAAACTGGGCATACTAGAGTTGGTGAGTAAATATGTAAAAGAGTTGAAGGCGAGTCTTGAAATGAGTGACGGAAAAGCTGCGATAATGGAGAGCGATACAAAAAAACTAAAAGGGGCAGTCACTAGGATGGAAACGGTCGTTAAGGAACTTAAAAAGGAGAACAACTTTCTGAGAGAAGCCTTACTAGACATACAAACTAGATCGATGAGAGAAAATCTAGTACTTATGGGTATCCAGGAAAAATAGGGAGAGATTACAGAAAAACTTGTGAAGGACTTCTTTCTTACGGCGCTTCAAATTCCACTCGAGGCTGTCGACAAAATCCAACTCGAACGTGTACACCGTTTCGGACAAAGAGGACAGAGATATGAGCATCCAATCGTTGCCAAATTTGCTTTTTTTTAAGGATAAAGTAACGGTTAAAAGGTAAAAGACTTGCTGGCACGAAAATAGGCATGAATGTGTGTTGCTCTTGTTGTCGATAAACTGTATATTGACAACCAAATGTTCCACGACACAAAGACTACTCCATGGCTATTCTGAAAGTTCTAATAGAGGAGTCGAATAATAGAACACCCAATAGCCATGGTAGGGATTGTAATAATAAAACACATTTATAGTATTTTATAAAGGGATAAGACGGTATTACAAGAAAATATAACAAGCAAAATAATACATCTTCAAATACAACTAAATTAGAACACAAGTACTCAATCAACATAGTGGAGATAAAAACATAGCAAACAGAAGACATAGAAGGCACAGTATGTGTGGATGGAAGGTGTGGTGTGCAATTTTTGTGTTTGAATAAGTGTGGCGTTAAGTGAGTGAGAGGAAATGGTTGCATATCCCACAACCAACGTGTGTCTGTGAGCAGGGGTTGGGAGAGAGCTTTCAATTTTGTGCAGATGAAGGATATACATTTTAAAATATAGTATACATCTAATATATTTTTGGATTGTCCTATCATTATGGAACGATCCCCAACCCTATATCCTAGACACCCACCTGAGCGACCCATACACCAAAGAGAAGTCCCCATCTGTTTTATGGACCTGCTGTGAGTTGCCTATATGCAGCCAAAACAGAAAAATAAATGCGGTCAGAGACCTACTTGAGCAGCACCACCCCCTCAAGATTCTGAGCCTGCCTGGCAGGGTTGGTCCTACAAAGCCAGAGCCCCCTGATGGGAGAGCATAATATACAAGGAAATTCTCAAAGCTGCTAATGAGAACCTTGACGACCTTGTACATAACCGGTGGGGATTCCGGTGGGGTACGCCCACCCAGGTAGTGGCAGTGCTGGCAACACTGGCTGCAGTAACCCATGGGGAGGGGGTCACACTCGGACAATCAGAGAGGGGGCTTATCATTGTGGCACAAAATAATCAAAGGTCTGACTGCACGGAGATGCTTGGGGAAAATGGTTACAACAGGGGACCAGAGTGTTTGTGTCTCAGGGAAGAGGGTGGATCTGATCTCCATCACCTAGGACTTGACATAGATTAAATAGATTAATCAAATCTCACATTGTTGTAAATTTTTTCTCAATCTTGCATGCTTTCTCAAACAGCTGTAACTGTATATGCATTCGTATATGCATTCGTAAATCAGGTCCTTTCTTGAGTTGGGCTCTGGGATGTAACAACCGTTGAGCATCTGATTTTATGGTTCATTGTGGAGGAAAGGGGTTGAGTATGTGCGTGTGTGTTTATCCAACATCTGTTGCAAGGGGGTAAGGATGCTAGGGAGAATATAGGATGAACCACAATAATTGTTTGGTAAAATAATAATTGCTTGTAAAAAATGTAATGTAATACAATGGCAATCCGGGTTATAGATTAAAATCCTACGCATGAACTGCCAACATTATTATGCATATTAATTGATAATGATGGAAAATAAGATATGCAAGATATTTGAATAGATATATATTTTTAAATAGCTATATATATATATATATATATATATACAGTGGGGGAAAAAAGTATTTAGTCAGCCACCAATTGTGCAAGTTCTCCCACTTAAAAAGATGAGAGAGGCCTGTAATTTTCATCATAGGTACACAAATGAGAAAAAAAATCCAGAAAATCACATTGTAGAATTTTTTATGAATTTATTTGCAAATTATGGTGGAAAATAAGTATTTGGTCAATAACAAAAGTTTCTCAATACTTTGTTATATACCCTTTGTTGGCAATGACACAGGTCAAACGTTTTCTGTAAGTCTTCACAAGGTTTTCACACACTGTTGCGACCGGGAGACTCATGGGCGGCGCACAATTGGCCCAGCGTCGTCCAGGGTAGGGGAGGGAATGGCCGGCAGGGATGTAGCTCAGTTGATAGAGCATGGCGTTTGCAACGCCAGGGTTGTGGGTTCGATTCCCACGGGGGGCCAGTATAAAAAAAAAATGTATTCACTAACTGTAAGTCGCTCTGGATAAGAGCGTCTGCTAAATGACTAAAATGTATACAGTGGGGAAAAAAAGTATTTAGTCAGCCACCAATTGTGCAAGTTCTCCCACTTAAAAATATGAGAGAGGCCTGTAATTTTCATCATAGGTACACGTCAACTATGACAGACAAATTGAGAATTTTTTTCTCCAGAAAATCACATTGTAGGATTTTTAATGAATTTATTTGCAAATTATGGTGGAAAATAAGTATTTGGTCACCTACAAACAAGCAAGATTTCTGGCTCTCACAGACCTGTAACTTCTTCTTTAAGAGGCTCCTCTGTCCTCCACTCGTTACCTGTATTAATGGCACCTGTTTGAACTTGTTATCAGTATAAAATACACCTGTCCACAACCTCAAACAGTCACACTCCAAACTCCACTATGGCCAAGACCAAAGAGCTGTCAAAGGACACCAGAAACAAAATTGTAGACCTGCACCAGGCTGGGAAGACTGAATCTGCAATAGGTAAGCAGCTTGGTTTGAAGAAATCAACTGTGGGAGCAATTATTAGGAAATGGAAGACATACAAGACCACTGATAATCTCCCTCGATCTGGGGCTCCACGCAAGATCTCACCCCGTGGGGTCAAAATGATCACAAGAACGGTGAGCAAAAATCCCAGAACCACACGGGGGGACCTAGTGAATGACCTGCAGAGAGCTGGGACCAAAGTAACAAAGCCTACCATCAGTAACACACTACGCCGCCAGGGACTCAAATTCTGCAGTGCCAGACGTGTCCCCCTGCTTAAGCCAGTACATGTCCAGGCCCGTCTGAAGTTTGCTAGAGTGCATTTGGATGATCCAGAAGAGGATTGGGAGAAAGTCAGATGAAACCAAAATATAACATTTTGGTAAAAACTCAACTAGTCATGTTTGGAGGACAAAGAATGCTGAGTTGCATCCAAAGAACACCATACTTACTGTGAAGCATGGGGGTGGAAACATCATGCTTTGGGGCTGTTTTTCTGCAAAGGGACCAGGACGACTGATCCGTGTAAAGGAAAGAATGAATCGTGAGATTTTGAGTGAAAACCTCCTTCCATCAGCAAGGGCATTAAAGATGAAACGTGGCTGGGTCTTTCAGCATGACAATGATCCCAAACACACCGCCCGGGCAATGAAGGAGTGGCTTCGTAAGAAGCATTTCAAGGTCCTGGAGTGGCCTAACCAGTCTCCAGATCCCAACCCCATAGAAAATCTTTGGAGGGAGTTGAAAGTCTGTGTTGCCCAGCGACAGCCCCAAAACATCACTGCTCTAGAGGAGATCTGCATGGAGGAATGGGCCAAAATACCAGCAACAGTGTGTGAAAACCTTGTGAAGACTTACAGAAAACGTTTGACCTGTGTCATTGCCAACAAAGGGTATATAACAAAGTATTGAGAAACTTTTGTTATTGACCAAATACTTATTTTCCACCATCATTTGCAAATAAATTCATTGAAAATCCTACAATGTGATTTTCTGGAAATTTTTTCCTCATTTTTTCTGTCATAGTTGACGTGTACCTATGATGAAAATTACAGGCCTCTCTCATCTTTTTAAGTGGGAGAACTTGCACAATTGGTGGCTGACTAAATACTTTTTTTCCCCACTGTATGTAATGTTAAAATTTTGGCCCATTCCTCCATGCAGATCTCCTCTAGAGCAGTAATGTTTTGGGGCTGTCGCTGGGCAACACGGACATTCAACTCCCTCCAAAGATTTTCTATGGGGTTGAGATCTGGAGACTGGCTAGGCCACTCCAGGACCTTGAAATGCTTCTTACGAAGCCACTCCTTCGTTGCCCGGGCGGTGTGTTTGGGATCATTGTCATGCTGAAAGACCCAGCCACGTTTCATCTTCAATGCCCTTGCTGATGGAAGGAGGTTTCACTCAAAATCTCACGATACATGGCCCCATTCATTCTTTCCTTTACACGGATCAGTCGTCCTGGTCCCTTTGCAGAAAAACAGCCCCAAAGCATGATGTTTCCACCCCCATGATTCACAGTAGGTATGGTGTTCTTTGGATGCAACTCGGCATTCTTTGTCCTCCAAACACGACGAGTTGAGTTTTTACCAAAAAGTTATATTTTGATTTCATCTGACCATATGACATTCTCCCAATCCTCTTCTGGATCATCCAAATGCACTCTAGCAAACATCAGACGGGCCTGGACATGTATTGGCTTAAGCAGGGGGACACGTCTTGTACTGCAGGATTTGAGTCCCTGGCGGCGTAGTGTGTTACTGATGGTAGGCTTTGTTACTTTGGTCCCAGCTCTCTGCAGGTCATTCACTAGGTCCCCCTGTGTGGTTCTGGGATTTTTGCTCACCGTTCTTGTGATCCTTTTGACCCCACGGGGTGAGATCTTGCGTGGAGCCCCAGATCGAGGGAGATTATCAGTGGTCTTGTATGTCTTCCATTTCCTAACAATTGCTCCCACAGTTGATTTCTTCAAACCAAGCTGCTTACCTATTGCAGATTCAGTCTTCCCAACCTGGTGCAGGTCTACAATTTTGTTTCTGGTGTCCTTTGACAGCTCTTTGGTCTTGGCCATAGTGGAGTTTGGAGTGTGACTGTTTGAGGTTGTGGACAGGTGTCTTTTATACTGATAACAAGTTCAAACAGGTGCCATTAATACAGGTAACGAGTGGAGGACAGAGGAGCCTCTTAAAGAAGAAGTTACAGGTCTGTGAGAGCCAGAAATCTTGCTTGTTTGTAGGTGACCAAATACTTATTTTCCACCATAATTTGCAAATAAATTCATTAAAAATCCTACAATGTGATTTTCTGGATTTTTTTTCGCTCAATTTGTCTGTCATAGTTGACGTGTACCTATGATGAAAACTACAGGCCTCTCTCATCTTTTTAAGTGGGAGAACTTGCACAATTGGTGGCTGACTAAATACTTTTTTTCCCCACTGTATATTGAGGTGAGAGCATTGGAAATGCTTTTGGCGGTTGACCTGCTTCTGTTTTGTGGGTGGCACTGTGTGCTGTTTTCAATGGATGGGTCCTGGCCTCTCGGGGCCCTAGGGATCCGGAGGGACGGGGGTGGTATGCCGATCACTAGGATGACGGCCCAACTTGGGATGGGGAGGGTCTTTAGCGGGGGAATTAGTGGAGAACAATTGGAGGGTTACTTAGTAGGAATATACTTCTCCCATGGGCTCCCAAAGAAACTCAAAAGAGGAGAATATATTAATTAACAGTAATTTCGATCCGAATGTGCAAATTGTCCAAACAGATACGCAAGGTAGATGGATTATTTTAAATATGTTTTTGGACCATAAACAGATATGGCTCATTAACCTTTACGGACCAAATAATGATGATCCACACTTCTTTGACAATATATACAGTGGGGGAAAAAAGTATTTAGTCAGCAACCTATTGTGCAAGTTCTCCCACTTAAAAAGATGAGAGAGGCCTGTAATTTTCATCATAGGTACACGTCAACTATGACAGACAAAATGAGATTTTTTTTCCAGAAAATCACATTGTAGGATTTTTTATGAATTTATTTGCAAATTATGGTGGAAAATAAGTGTTTGGTCAATAACAAAAGTGTCTCAATACTTTGTTATATACCCCTTGTTGGCAATGACACAGGTCAAACGTTTTCTGTAAGTCTTCACAAGGTTTTCACACACTGTTGCTGGTATTTTGGCCCATTCCTCCATGCAGATCTCCTCTAGAGCAGTGATGTTTTGGGGCTGTCGCTGGGCAACACAGACTTTCAACTCCCTCCAAAGATTTTCTATGGGGTTGAGATCTGGAGACTGGCTAGGCCTCTCCAGGACCTTGAAATGCTTCTTACGAAGCCACTCCTTCGTTGCCCGGGCGGTGTGTTTGGGATCATTGTCATGCTGAAAGACCCAGCCACGTTTCATCTTCAATGCCCTTGCTGATGGAAGGAGGTTTTCACTCAAAATCTCACGATACATGGCCCCATTCATTCTTTCCTTTACACGGATCAGTCGTCCTGGTCCCTTTGCAGAAAAACAGCCCCAAAGCATGATGTTTCCACCCCCATGCTTCACAGTAGGTATGGTGTTCTTTGGATGCAACTCAGCATTCTTTGTCCTCCAAACACGACGAGTTGAAGTTTTTACCAAAAAGTTATATTTTGGTTTCATCTGACCATATGACATTCTCCCAATCCTCTTCTGGATCATCCAAATGTACTCTAGCAAACTTCAGACGGGCCTGGACATGTACTGGCTTAAGCAGGGGGACACGTCTGGCACTGCAAGATTTGAGTCCCTGGCGGCGTAGTGTGTTACTGATGGTAGGCTTTGTTTATTTGGTCCCAGCTCTCTGCAGGTCATTTACTAGGTCCCCCCGTGTGGTTCTGGGATTTTTGCTCACCGTTCTTGTGATCATTTTGACCCCACAGGGTGAGATCTTGCGTGGAGCCCCAGATCGAGGGAGATTATCAGTGGTCTTGTATGTCTTCCATTTCCTAATAATTGCTCCCACAGTTGATTTCTTCAAACCAAGCTGCTTACCTATTGCAGATTCAGTTTTCCCAGCCTGGTGCAGGTCTACAATTTTGTTTCTGGTGTCCTTTGACAGCTCTTTGGTCTTGGCCATAGTGGAGTTTGGAGTGTGACAGTTTGAGGTTGTGGACAGGTGTCTTTTATACTGATAACAAGTTCAAACAGGTGCCATTAATACAGGTAACGAGTGGAGGACAGAGGAGCCTCTTAAAGAAGAAGTTACAGGTCTGTGAGAGCCAGAAATCTTGCTTGTTTGTAGGTGACCAAATACTTATTTTCCACCATAATTTGCAAATAAATTCATAAAAAATCCTACAATGTGATTTTCTGGAGAAAAAAATTCTCAATTTGTCTGTCATAGTTGACGTGTACCTATGATGAAAATTACAGGCCTCTCTCATATTTTTAAGTGGGAGAACTTGCACAATTGGTGGCTGACTAAATACTTTTTTTCCCCACTGTATACATTTTCATCATTTAGCAGACGCTCTTATCCAGAGCGACTTACAAATTGGTGCATTCACCTTATGATAACAAGTGGGACAACCACTTTACAATATGTTTTTTTTTTCTCTCTTTGGGGTGGGGTAAGGGGGGGGGTAGAAGGATTACTTTATCCTATCCCAGGTATTCCTTAAAGAGGTGGGGTTTCAAGTGTCTCTACGGAAGGTGGTGAGTGACTCTGCTGTCCTGGCGTCGTGAGGGAGCTTGTTCCACCATTGGGGTGCCAGAACAGCGAACAGTTTTGACTGGGCTGAGCGGGAACTGTGCTTCCGCAGAGGTAGGGGGGCCAGCAGGCCAGAGGTGGATGAACGCAATGCCCTCGTTTGGGTGTAGGGACTGATCAGAGCCTGAAGGTACAGAGGTGCCGTTCCCCTCACAGCTCCGTAGGCAAGCACCATGGTCTTGTAGCAGATGCGAGCTTCAACTGGAAGCCAGTGGAGTGTGCGGAGGAGCGGGGTGACGTGAGAGAACTTGGGAAGGTTGAACACCAGACGGGCTGCGGCGTTCTGGATGAGTTGTAGGGGTTTAATGGCACAGGCAGGGAGCCCAGCCAACAGCGAGTTGCAGTAATCCAGACGGGGAGATGACAAGTGCCTGGATTAGGACCTGTGCCGCTTCCTGTGTAAGGCAGGGTCGTACTCTGCGAATGTTGTAGAGCATGAACCTACAGGATCGGGTCACCGCCTTGATGTTAGCGGAGAACGACAGGGTGTTGTCCAGGGTCACGCCAAGGCTCTTTGCACTCTGGGAGGAGGACACAACGGAGTTGTCAACCGTGATGGCGAGATCATGGAACGGGCAGTCCTTCCCCGGGAGGAAGAGCAGCTCCGTCTTGCCGAGGTTCAGCTTGAGGTGGTGATCCGTCATCCACACTAATATGTCTGCCAGAGATGCGATTCGCCACCTGGTTATCAGAAGGGGGAAAGGAGAAGATTAATTGTGTGTCGTCTGCGTAGCAATGATAGGAGAGGCCATGTGAGGATATGACAGAGCCAAGTGACTTGGTGTATAGCGAGAATAGAAGAGGGCCTAGAACTGAGCCCTGGGGGACACCAGTGGTGAGAGCACGTGGTGCGGAGACAGATTCTCACCACGCCACCTGGTAGGAGCGACCTGTCAGGTAGGACGCAATCCAAGAGTGAGCCGCGCCGGAGATGCCCAACTCGGAGAGGGTGGAGAGGAGGATCTGATGGTTCACAGTATCAAAGGCAGCAGATAGGTCTAGAAGGACGAGAGCAGAGGAGAGAGAGTTAGCTTTAGCAGTGCAGAGAGCCTCCTTGACACAGAGAAGAGCAGTCTCAGTTGAATGACCAGTCTTGACGGAGTCACCCATGATTCACCAAATGATATTTTGAAGGAGGAAGCAAAGTACTTTAAGCATATGTTTTCGTTTCAGTCACCTCCATCTCCTCTAACTAAAGCTAATTGTAGAGATCTTTTTTCTATTGATAATGTAAAATTAACAGCCATACAGAAAGACTCATGTAAAGGTGAAATTACAGAGGAGGAACTTCTGGATGCAATTAAAGACTTTAAGTCCGGGAAAACTCCAGGGTTGGATGGCATACCAGTCGAGGTATACCAAACCTTTTTTGATATACTCAGATGACCATTATTAGCATGTTTTAACCACTCCTATGTAAATGGTAGATTATCAGACACTCAAGAAGAAGGTCTGATTGCATTATTACTGAAACAGGATACAAGTGGAAAATATAAAGATCCAGTCCATTAAAAAAATTGGAGGCTTCAGTGTTGTGAAGCATAACTTCTAGCTAAATGTATAGCGCATAGAATTAAAAAGGTATTGTCAGACATTAATCATTCTAATCAGACAGGTTTTTACATGGAAGATACATTGGAGATAATATAAGGCAAGTACTGGAAACAATAGAACACTATGGAAAATCTGGGAAACCAGGCCTGCTATTCATAGCAGACTTCAAAAAGGCATTTGATAAAGTACGACTGGGGTTTATATATAAATGCCTGGAGCATTTCAATTTTGGAGAATCTCTTATAAAATGGGTTAAAATCATGTATAGTAACCCTATGTGTAAAATAGTAAATAACGGCTATTTCTCAGAAAGTTTTAAACTGTCAAGAGGAGTGAAACAAGGTTGTCCACTATTGGCATATTTATTTACTATGGCCATCGAGATGTTATCTATTAAAATCAGATCCAACAATAATAGCAAGGGATTAGAAATCCAGGGTTTAAAAACAAAGGTGTCATTGTACGCTGATGATTCATGTTTTCTTTTAAATCCACAACTTGAATCCCTCCACAGCCTCATAGAGGATCTAGAGACATTTTCTAACCTCTCTGGATTACAACCAAATTATGATAAATGTACTATATTACGTATTGGATCACTAGAAAATACAATTTTTACATTACCATGTAGTTTACCAATAATGGTCTGATGGTGATGTGGATATACTCACAATACATATCCCAAATGAAATATATGATCTCACTCCAATACATTTTAATAGAAAGTTAGCAAAAATAGATAAGATTTTGCTACCATGGAAAGGTAAATACCTGTCAATTTGTGGAAAAATCAGCCTGATTAACTCTTTAGTATTATCCCAGTTGACCTATTTGCTTATGGTCTTGCCTATGCCTAGCGAACAGTTTTTTAAATTATATGAGAAAAAAAGATTCCATTTTATTTGGAACGGCAAACCAGACAAAATTAAAAGGGCCTATTTATATAATGAATATGAAATCGGAGGACAGAAATTATTAAATATTAATGCATTAGAACTATCACTAAAAGCTTCAGTCGTACAAAAGTTATACTTAAATCCGAACTGGTTCTCTAGCAAATTAGTAAGATTCTCTCACCCAATGTTCAAGAATGGCCTTTTTCCCTTTATTCAGATCACAACCTCTCACTATCAGTTATTTGAAAAGGAAATCATCTCCCAAATATCACTGTTTCTAAAACAAGCCATAGAAAGTTGGTTGCAATTTCAATTTAATCTTCCAGAAACGACAGAACAAATAATGCAACAAATATTGTGGTTAAACTCAAATATACTAATTGATTAAAAAAAGGTATAATCTTCGTAAATGATATCATCGGTAGGACTGGTGGAGTTATGTCGCACATGCAGCTAACAAAAACATATGGAAATGTCTGCTCTACCCAAAATTACAGCCAAATAATTGCTGCATTACCGCAAAAATGGAAGAGGAAAGTGGAGGGGGGAAAGAGTAAGGAACTTGTCTTTCGGCCTTGCATTAAAGAACATAATTGGTTAAAGAAAACTGTGATAAATAAGAAAGTATACCAGTTTCATTTAAGGACCGACGGATTGACAGCCGTCCCATATAGATTGCAAAATAGTTGGGAAGAGATTTTTGACGTACCGATCCCATGGCATAGTGTTTATGAACTGATACGCAAAACGACGCCGGATTCAAAGCTTAGAAGTTTTCAATTTAAATTATTATATAAAATTCTTGCTACCAATAAAATGTTATTTATATGGGGGATACAATCTTCCCAGCTCTGCAGATTTTGCTGCGAAGAGACAGAATCATTAGATCGTTTGTTTTGGTACTGTCCATTTGTAGCTTGTTTTTGGACACAGGTCCAGGAATGGCTAAAGGATTGCAATATTTACCTGGAGCTAACCCTGCAGATAGCATTATTGGGTGATCTGAAAAGTCATAGTCAATCGATCAATAATATAATAATACTTTTAGCAAAAATGTTTATTTTCAATTTACAATTTGTAGAAACGGTTCAGAACTTTTGTAAAACATCACAGTACAGTTGAAAAATGTATGGCAAATAGAAATCCAATATGGATGGTGTTAAGAGATAGATGGGTGGTGTTGAATGGAGTTGAAGGATGGGACTAATAACAACTAACAACTAATAACAATAAGATAACTAATCATGTAAGCATACTGTGTCCATAATAAGTATATAGGTTATAGGTTGAGAGCTTTTGTGAAAGAGCACAGATAGAAAGATATGGCATATAGAAGCAAACCGGATGGACATCATGAAAATGATCGGAGAGGTTGAGGGTAGAGGAAGTTCAGGAGTAAAAACAAACAAAATGTAATTATTGTAAAATTGACTGTGTCCATACAATTTATATAGTATGTATAAGCTGGAAGTAGAGGCCTAAGCATTGTTGTTCACTAGTTTACTCCAATTAGGGAAGGGGTGGTGGGGTTGGAAAGTAATAAAGGGAAATATATATTTTTTACAAAAAGACACCGACAACCATAAGCTACCGTCAAACACAAAATGTTTATTATGAACACACAGTAAAGGTTTGGGAAAAGGGGCTGAGCAGGACCCAAGGAATGAAACAATAATGTAAAAAAAAACTAAACTGATCTTGCCTGCCTCAAGAACCGCTAAGCTACTGCTAACCATACAAAAATACAGTGGGTGGTCCGCTCAGGTCTAACTAGTGTTTTTAGACAATGTTTTTTCTACGGGTAATGTATGCCCAAGGGCAACTTGCTAAATCCCCCTTTTCCCAGGAACAAATGAGTGAGTACACAAAAAACAGGACACCACAGTATCCATACTCCCAAACGAAAAGAGTCTGTCAGCAAACACAACTGACTGGCTTTTAAAACAATGGGATGTGTGATGTGAGTGAAAAACCAGAAACAGGTGGTGCAATGCAGAGGAATGTCCACTGATTGGTCCACCTCAGCAATCAGCAGACGAACGGATGTCGGACAGGTGGGACACCCCAACGATCACCAATCAGGAAAACAAGGGACACCTGTGATTAGGGCAGAAGGAGAGAAAAAAACAAATACACATACAGGATACCTGTATCCGTAACACTCCCACCCTTAAAAGAGCAAACCTACAAGGGTTTGCGTCTCATGTACTATCCCTACACATAAAACAAATGTAAAGAGCAAAAGCATCTTCACGGGATAGAAAATAAATCCTAGATCTCTAAACACGAGACTGGCGTTTTCTATCAGGAGTCTGTATCACGTAATCAGTTTCACTTAGTTTATTTTCAATTACATAAGGACCAGAGAAACGTGCTGACAATGACGCTCCTGGCACAGGCAACAATACAAGAACTTGGTCACCCGGCTGCAGCGAACGAGAAACAGCCTGGTTGTCATAGTGCCGTTTCATACGTCTCTGTGAGGAAGACAGTGCTTCCTTTACTAGAGCACAGGCACCATGTAGGCGCTCACAAAAGCGACTAACGTAGTCCAACACATTTTATTTCTCACACAAACTGATCCTTAAGGACTTTCATAGGTCCTCTCACGGTGTGTCCAAACACCAGTTCAGCTGGGCTGTACCCTAAGGATTCCTGTACCGTCTCACGGACAGCAAACAAACCTTGAGGAACTCCCTCATCCCAATCCTTCTCAGATTCCAAGCAATATTTACGGAGCATAGACTTCAGTGTCTGATGCCAACGTTCAAGCGCACCCTGAGACTCTGGGTGATATGCGCTTGACACGATGTGTAACTGACAAGGATTTTAACACTTGTTTGAAAAGCTTAGAAAGGAAATTCGTACCCTGATCAGTTTGTACCACCTTAGGTAACCCAAAAGTTGAGAAGAATTTGATCAAAGCTTTACTCACCACCGGAGCAGTAATCCTTCACAGAGGAATGGCCTCTGGGTACCTGGTGGCCACACACATAATCGTCAACAGAAACTGGTTACCAGATTTTGTCTTTGGTAATGGTCCAACACAATCAACCAACACATGTTCGAATGGTTCACCTATGGCAGGTATGGGACAAAGAGGCGCGGGAGGAATAACCTGGTTCGGTTTCCCAGTTACTTGACAGGTGTGGCATGTCCGACAGAACTGAGCCACATCTTGTTTTAAACCAGGCCAAAAGAAATGTCGCAAAACCCGATCATAAGTCTTGGTGACTCCCAGATGTCCGGACCACTGGTGATCATGAGCGAGGGATAAAACATTTTGTCGAAAGGCTGTAGGAATCACTATTTGGTAAACAGCATTCCAATCTCCGCCAGCGTCAACATGGGATGTCCATTTACGTATGAGGAGATTACCATCAATGAAGTATGCCATGTTTTTCTTCCTTAGCTCCTCCACTGAGACAACACTAGAAAAACATTTAGCCAGGCTAATGTCAACCTTCTGGTTAGCGATCAGCTGCTCACGAGTGACTGGTAACTTTATTGCCTCAGCAACAAGTTCCACATACTTCTTCCTTTCCCTGGGCTGTTGGTCAGACTGCACCAGCTTACCAGAGGTAGCACCCAAGCTATCCTCTGGGTCACACACTCTGAATAGAATAGTGTTCGACAAATCTATCACGTCACCCACTGACAGCACAAGCGGGGAACACATATGGATAACCCTGTGCCAGCTCCTCGGAGAGAGACTGGTCACTTTTATCCAATACCTCCAATACGGGGATCACCTTTCCTCCGGCAATATCGTTGCCCATTATAAATGTCACACCTTTTACTGGCAACAACCGGACGCTGAGACGCTTCGTCATCTGATATGGAAACAAACCCCTCAAAAATGAACGGTTCATAACTGCGATCTGGGACTGGGACTTTCAAACCACCTTTACCCTGAGGCATCTGTTTTGATTCTGGTCTTACAACCGTACGAATCAGCCCAACACTCGTTGGCAGCCTGGCGTGCAGAGGCATCCCCTGTTTGCGTTTTAGCAGAAAGCAATCATTCTTCTTGAGCCACTCCTTTGTTGCCTTGGCCGTGTGTTTTGGGTCATTGTCATGCTGGAATACCCATTCCACTACCCATTTTCAATGCCCTGGCTGAGGGAAGGAGGTTCTCACCCAAGATTTGACGGTACATGGCCCCGTCCATTGTCCCTTTGATGCAGTGAAGTTGTCCTGTCCCCTTAGCAGAAAAACATCCCCAAAGCATAATGTTTCCACCTCCATGTTTGACGGTGGGGATGGTGTTCTTGGGGTCATAGGCAGCATTCCTTCTCCTCCAAACACGGTGAGTTGAGTTGATGCCAAAGAGCTCGATTTTGGTCTCATCTGACCACAACACTTTCACCCAGTTCTCCTCTGGATCATTCAGATGTTCATTGGCAAACTTCAGACGGGCCTGTATATGTGCTTTCTTGAGCAGGGGGACCTTGCGGGCGCTGCAGGATTTCAGTCCTTCACGGCGTAGTGTGTTACCAATTGTTTTCTTGGTGACTATGGTCCCAGCTGCCTTGAGATCATTGACAAGATCCTCCCGTGTAGTTCTGGGCTGATTCCTCACCGTTCTCATGATCATTGCAACTCCACGAGGTGAGATCTTGCATGGAGCCCCAGGCCGAGGGAGATTGACAGTTATTTTGTGTTTCTTCCATTTGCGAATAATCGCACCAACTGTTGTCACCTTCTCACCAAGCTGCTTGGCGATGGTCTTGTAGCCCATTCCAGCCTTGTGTAGTTCTACAATCTTGTCACTGACATCCTTGGAGAGCTCTTTGGTCTTGGCCATGGTGGAGAGTTTGGAATCTGATTGTTTTATTGCTTCTGTGGACAGGTGTCTTTTATACAGGTAACAAGCTGAGATTAGGAGCACTCCCTTTAAGAGTGTGCTCCTAATCTCAGCTCGTTAGCTGTATAAAAGACACCTGGGAGCCAAAAATCTTTCTGATTGAGAGGGGGTCAAATACTTATTTCCCTCATTAAAATGCAAATCAATTTATAACATTTTTGACATGCGTTTTTCTAGATTTTTGTTGTTGTTGTTCTGTCTCTCACTGTTCAAATAAACCTACCATTAAAATTATAGACTGATCATTTCTTCGTCAGTGGGCAAACGTACAAATATACAAAAATACTTTTTTCCCTCACTGTAAACACTTGCCCCCCAATCCCCCCTTTCACAAAGCGTGTAAACATCGGACTATAAATTGTGCCTTCCTGTATTATACTTATGCAAATAAAAAGTATTATATTCTACTGAGCCATTTACTTTGTTTGTATTCTTATCTTTTATTATTTCACACCAGTAGAATATGGTGGTGGATCTTTGATGTTATTATGGTGGTGGATCTTTGGGGCTATTTTGCTTCCACTGGTCCTGGGGCCCTGGTTAAGGTCAACGGCATCATTAACTTTACAAAGTAGGCCTATCAGGACCTTTTAACCAAAAACCTGGTTGCCTCTGCCAGGAGGCTGGCACTTGGCCACAATTGGATCTTCCAGCAAGACAATAATCCCAAGCACTAATTAAAATCCACTAAGAAATTGTTAATTGACCACAAAATCAACATTTTGCAATGGGTATCTCAGTCTCTGGACATCATTGAACCCCATTGAAAACCTGTGGTTTGAATTGAAGAGGGCAGTCCATAAGAGCACATGAAGAATATCAAGGATCTGGAAAGATTCTGTATGGAGGAATTGTTTAAGATCCCTCCCAACGTGTTCTACAATCTCATAAAACCTTTAAGAAAAAGGCTCAGTGACGTTATCCTCACAAGGGTGCTAGAGTATTGAAAACAGGGGTGCCAATCATTTTGACCCCTATCTTTTGTAGAATTTGTTTTTATTACTTGTTAAACAAAATATATTTCTCTAAGCAATTGTATTAGTATATATTTTTTTGTATACAGTATAGCTCAGTATTTGTATTATTTATCCTGAACAAAAATATAAACGCAAGAGTTGTTGGTCCCATGTTTCATGAGCTGAAATAAAAGATCCTAGAAATGTTCCATACACACAAAAAGCTTCTTTCTCTCACATTTTGTGTAGACATTTGTTAACATCCCTGTTAGTGAGCATTTCTCCTTTGCCAAAATCATCCATCTACCTGAACCGGTGTGGCATATCAAGAATCTGATTAAACAGCACGATCATTACATAGGTGTCCCCTTGTGCTGGGGACAATAAAAGGCCACTCTAAAATATGCTGTTTTTTATTATTTTTTAAGCACAATGCCACAGATGTCTCAAGTTTTGAGGGAGCGTGCAATTGGCATGCTGACTGCAGGATTGCCCACCACAGCTGTTGCCAGAGAATTGAATGTTCATTTCTCTACCCTAAGCCACCTCCAAAGTCATTTTAGTGAATTTGGCAGTACGTCCAACCGGTCTCACAACCGCAGACCACATTTAACCACGCAAGCCCAGGACCTCCACATCCGGCTTCTTCGTCTGAGACCAGCCACCCGGACAGCTGATGAAACTGCATTCAGGTCAAGACCGAATAATTTCTGCACAAACTGTCAGAAATTTCTCAGGGAAGCTCATCTGCGTGCTCACGGTCCTCACCAGGGTCTTGACCTGACTGCAGTTTGACATCGTGACCTGACTGCAGTTCGACGTCGTAACCGACTTCAGAGGACAAATACTCACCTTCGATGGCCACTGACACGCTGGAGAAGTGTGCTCTTCACGGATGAACCCCGGTTTCAACTGTACCGGGCAGATGACAGACACTGGCATCGTCTTTACGTCTGTTATTCAGCATTTTTGTTTCTCTTTCTGCTATAGTTGACCTAGTATTTTATATTAGACGTACCTCACATATCCAGTTTTTTCATTTGTATCTCACCCACCAACATTTTTTTTACATTTTGTATTATTTGTGCTGGTCTAATTCCTATAATGGAAAAACAGAATAAGCTGTGCGCTCTTGGATAGTAATAATAGCTCATATGGTGCTCTTCAATGTCCCAGGTTTGTGGCATTGATGAATAAATAATTTAATCCTTACTTGAAGTCAGACCTTGTTTCATATACACTCTTGAGTGTTTCATTGCAATATAATAGATACTTTTTTCATTGTCATACCTCTGCTCTCTCCTGCTTCTTTGGCCTGCTACACATCTTTCCAGCTGCCATCGTGAACGTTGGTTCAACCTGAGGTGAAATGTACCACGAGACCGTGGTGTGATACACAGCACAATGCACCGCCCACCTGTTGTGTTTGACCTTTCAATCTACACTATATATACAAAAGTTTGTGGACATCCCTTCAAATTAGTGGATTTGGCTATTTCAGCCACACCCGTTGCTGACAGGTGTATAAAATCGAGCACACAGCCATGCAATCTCCATAGACAAACATTGGCAGTAGAATGGCCTTCCTGAAGAGCTCAGTGACTTTCAACATGGTACCGTCATAGGATGCCACCTTTCCAACAAGTCAGTTTGTCAAATTGCTACCCTGCTAGAGCTGCCCCGGTCAATTTAAGTGCTTTTATTGTGAAGTGGAAAAGTCTAGGATCAACAATGACTCAGCTGCGAAGTGGTAGGCCAAACGCACAGAGCTGTTTAATGATGATGGTATATTCAATGAACTGATGAAAACTAACCAAGCGCTCCAGGACAAGTTGTCTACAGAATTAAAGGAGCTTAAAATCAAGAAATTCAACCAAGACAAAAAAGACAAGGCCGAGGACAAAGTCTACTTCTGGAGAAACCCTGACAAGAGAAGTCCTGCTCCTCCTCTCCATGACAGACGCAGGAGGGAGGCCGCTAACTTCTATCCACTCCCGTCTGACCAACGCTCTACAACTAGCGCCTCATCCGCTTCCAGTGCCAGTTTTTTATCCAACGAGAGACTGGGCCGACGGAAGCGCGGAGGTGGCCGCGGTCACGCGTACGGACGAGATGCCGTACACGACCGGGTAAGAAGAAATGACTACCAGAGGCAGAGGGGACACAGAACCCACAGGACTGAGTGTCTTTAATTTATCAAGCAAGATATTGAGTCCTGCCCATGTTTCCTTGCTTAATAAAGGGTTATATGTTGTCCCTACAACTCAGTGCAACGATTTTGATGTTAAGCTAGACATGTTTAAGTTTTTTTAGAAACATCCGTTTAAGGGAATACTTTAACTCCCCTAATCGTGATATTTCAACTGAACATGTAGGTGGCTCACCTGCACATACTCCGACTCCTTTTATAATAATAATAAGCCATTTAGCAGACGCTTTTATTCAAAGCGACTTACAGTCATGCGTGCATACATTTTTGTGCATGGGTGGTCCCGGGGATCGAACCCACTACCTTGGCGTTTCAAGCGCCATGCTCTACCAGCTGAGCTACAGAGGACCACCTTTTAGAAGTAAGAGTTATTTTGTACCTCCAGCCAATCGCAATCACTCTATTGAGACATATTGCAGACTCGTTGAAAAAGATGTTGGGAATCTCCTTAAGAACAAACATGAGTACATATCTTTTCAAAATTTACCCAAGGATGAAAAATAAGTTTTGCTTGATTTACAATCCGATACGTGAGTTCTTACCCGCCCTGCTGATAAGGGTGGGTCGGTTGTACTCATGGATAGGACAGTTTATGTAAATGAGTGTCACAGACAACTGCTTGACAACACCTTTTACAAGAAACTCAGAAGTGACCCCCACTTCCCAATTTCAGAACACTATCTTTACTGTCCTAGATGGGTATTTAAGTTCTGGTCAAATCACCCCAAAATCACCCGATTTTTTGGCTATTCAACACCCTAAAATTGTCACTTTCTATACTTTGCCGAAATTACACAAGAATGTTACAAAACCTCCAGGGCGCCCTATTGTAGCGGGCATTTATGCAGTAACAGCCCCTTTATCAACCTTTGTAGACTTTTTTATTAGACCTCTCGCAGAACAGCTCCCCTCCTTTGTAAAGGACACCAGCAGTATGATCTATATTATTGAATCTCTTGATCCTCTCCCTGATAATACCTTGCTAGTTACTTTTGATGTTGAGTCGTTATATACGAATATTCCACACGAGGGCGGTATTGAAGCCATGGAACATTTTCTTCTGCAACGTGACCCAAATGAACTACCTTCCAGTGCATGCATTATAACATTGGCTGAAATAGTACTCACACACAACTACTTCATATTTCTAAATGATTTCTTTATTCAGACGAAGGGTACTGCTATGGTATCCCCTATGGATCCTAACTATGCTAATTTGTATGTGGGTTACATTGAGAAACAGTCAATTTTCAATCCACTCAAAAATGTTTTCTTGCCTAACATTATTATTTGGAAACGGTACATTGATTATATTTTTGTTCTATGGAGGGGTGATTTAAAACAGCTCCAGGCATTCCATGCTTTTCTTAACTCGGTTGTTCTGAGCACCTGAGATTGACTATGCAATCGGACACACGTCAAATCAGTTTCCTTGATCTTCTGATTTTGTGAGGATAATGTTCTATACACAGATTAATACTGCCATTGAGAAAATTCCAAACAAATCGAGACTTATAATTAATTAGTCATTTAGCAGACGCTCTTATCCAGAGCGACTTACAGGAGCAATTAGGGTTAAGCGCCTTGCTCAAGGGCACATCGACAGATTTTTCACCTAGTCAGCTCGGGGATTAGAACCAGCGACCTTTCGGTTACTGGCACAACGCTCTTAACCACTAAGCTACCTGCTATATCAGTATGTTAATACAGGACTAGTAAAGGCCCAGTGTTACTGACTGCTATATCAGTCTGTTAATACAGGACTAGTAAAAGGCCCAGTGTTACAGACTGCTATATCAGTCTGTTAATGCAGGACTAGTAAAGGCCCAGTGTTACAGACTGCTATATCAAGTCTGTTAATGCAGGACTAGTAAAGGCCCAGTGACCTCTTTCAGGGACAGTCTCGCAAAAAGAAGCATTCTTGCGTTCTAACTACACGCTATTCAAAGTGCTCTGAACAAATTAAGGGAATCGTTCACAAACATTGGCACATTCTAAGATCCGATGACAGTATTGGTAATGTGTTTTCGGACCCTCCATTGGTTGTATTCTCGCGGGGCAGAAACCTCAGAGATCAATTGGTCAACTCGGATTTACCAACCCTAAATATCCCTGCACAACGTCTATTTGCGCCTCCACCGGATGGGGAAACTACAAGTGTAATGGCTGCGCTCAATGCATTGGCACTTACAAATGTAGATCCTTTAAACACCCCCAAACAGGAAAACAGATCCCAATCAAAGGTGTTATTACGTGCTCCACTAAGGCAGTTATTTATCTTATAACTTGTCCTTGTGGTAAACATTATGTGGGTAAAACAAAGCGCGAATTAAAAGTACGAATCTCGGAGCATCGTAGCACCATTAGGTGCAAAAACTCGACATACCCAGTCGATGCCGATTTCGTCCCTACGTTATATCGGCATCGAACATGTCACCCTCCCTAGGAGAGGGGGTGACCTCGACAACTTATTGTTAAAACGAGAGGGTGCCTGGATCTTTAATTTAAAGACCCTTGCTCCCTTTGGTCTCAACGTAGACTTTGATTTGAAGCCATTCTTGTGATTATTGTGATTTTGCTATTCATTGTAAATGTTTGTGGGCCTATGTAGCTATGATCGTATGCTATCCATGTTTTTTGTATGTTCTGTTTATCTGTGAATTAACCAATGCTATTAGGCCACACCCGGCCATGATTACAGACACCTGCGTGTGTCCTTTGACACTATATAAACTAGTGACACGCAGTGTTTGTCATTATACCCTGATGAAGACAGCTTGTCTGTCGAAACATTGGTTATTAGGATATTAAATTATTGCATCTGAGCTCCTAGAGTGTGCAGCTTTCCTTTTCTTTTTCAGGCCAAACAAGCTCACAAAATGGAACCGCCGAGTGCTGAAGCGTGTAAAAATAATCTGTCCTTGATTGCAACACTCACTACAGAGTTCCAAACTGCCTCTGGAAGCAATGTCAGCAGAAGAACTGTTAGTCGAGAGCTTAATGAAAGGGGTTTCCATGGCCGAGCCGCCGCACACAAGCCTAAAATCACCATGCGCAATGCCAAGCGTCGGCTGGAATGGTGTAAAGCTTGCCGCCATAGGACTCTGGAGCAGTGGAAACGCGTTCTCTGGAGTGATGAATCACGCTTCACCATCAGGCAGTCCGACGGACTAATCTGGGTTTGGCGGATGCCAGGAATACGCTACCTGCCCGAATGCATAGTGCCAGTTGTTATGTTTGGTGAAGGAGGAATAATGGTCTGGGGCTGATTTTCATGGTTCGCGCTAGGCCCCTTAGTTCTAGTGAAGGAAAATCTTAACTATACAGCATACATTCTAGACAATTCTGTGCTTCCAACTTTGTGGCAACAGTTTGGGGAAGGCCCTTTCCTGTTTCAGCATGACAATACCCTTGTGCAAAAAGCGAGGTCCATTCAGAAATGGTTTGTTGAGATTGGTGTGGAAGAACTTGATTGGCCTGCACAGAGCCCTGACCTCAACCCCATCGAACACCTTTGGGATGAATTGGAGCGCCGACTGCGAGCCAGGCCTAATTGCCCAACATCAGTGCCCGACCTCACTAATGCTTGTGGCTGATTGGAAGCAAGTCCCAGTAGCAATGTTCCAACATCTAGAGGAAAGCCTTCCCAGAAGAGTGGAGGCTGTTATAGCAGCAAAGGGAAGACCAGCTCCATGTTGCTGCCCATGATTTTGGAATTAGATGTTCGACGAGCAGGTTTCCACATAATTTTGGTGTATCATGTCTAGCTACATTGTAGCTAAATTCACCAAAATCTAAATTGTAAAATTAACCCAGATTTCAATTTCATAAGTCATACAAAAAGTAATTAACAAACATGTTAAGTTTGTTTTTCTGATAATCTGTCAAGCATGGCAAGGAAAAAACCTGTTTGCTTTGTAAAAGTTTTTATTTAGAAGATGAAAGAACATGTCCACAACAACGATGTCCACCTCAGATGTTACCAAAATGATACAACAGAAAAAAATTGTCCGACATCAATAGCTAGGATTCCATCTAATTGGCGACAGATTTTCATGTGAATATTCTAAAATCCACATAAATAAAAGATGCAAATTTTCTCACCAGAGATGTGTTTCCATCAAATTTACTTGTTGCAGATAAAAGCCTGTGCATGATGACATAGTGCACATAAAATGTACTTTAGCGGTTAAATTCCCATGTACCTAATAAAACATACAAGCTAAGTGCATTTCCATCCCATTTCCAACTCTACTGATGGTTTTGTAACAAAGAATGTTGCGTTACATAGCGAATGTGCCCTATCTGGTACTGGCACGTGCGCTCTAGCCAATGGCTTGCAGATACAGTGCGGGTATAGCCTACACATGATGAGGTTATTATGGACAAAATATAATTTTAATTTGTCAAACGGCAGTCAAGCATCGATCATCATGTCACCAGAATAAGACCCTCGATATTTATCGGAAAGGAGCATCAAGCTCATCACCTTGCCTAGCGTACTTTGTTTTGTCGTCATTTGGAAAGTTTACCGACAAATTAACTGTTTCCATCAGGCCTGTCATGACATTTTTATCCAACATGTACTTTACTCGCATAAAAAGGTTGGATGGAACCTGGTTAATGACACTAAAACATCTCCAACAGAATCTAATCTTGATTCTTTGGTCATAATAATTTCCATTATATCCAAACACATGTTCTAGTCTACTGCTCTTCACCATTGTTCTCTTGAAATGTACTGTAATTCTAGCTGTCCTACAGCAGGTTGCAGACCCTCAACATCTTAGTGCTGCTTGGAGAAGAAGTCTTTGCTCTTCTGGATGTCGGGCTTGATGGTGTCACTTCCTGGTTTCCAGCCGGCGGGACAGACTGAGAGGAAACACCAGAGAAGAAGTTGAGTCTCAGGACAGTGCAGTATGATAAGCAAAACACACTTAGAACCTGAGCTTTATATTTTTACACATTCTGACGATATCTACTATCAGCCTAACATTCTCAGCTGTTACAAACATGGAATGTTACCTCAAAAGAGAGAGTGGTAAAAGTGACCTAAATGCTGTTCACATAGTGCAGGTATCGTCAACCGGCGGCCCGCGTGCCAAATTCGGCCTGTGGACAATTTTCTTTGGCCCCCCAAAGTTTTCTGAGCCCAAAAAATATTTTCTTTAATTATTTTTGCATTTTTAGTTTTGGGACATGAAAGACTAAAATCAATAGGAATTCACCTCAAAATGATTTTAATTTAGGAATTCTATTCCTAAGTATTTCCACTCGTGTACCAATGTAATCAAGGTTTGAAATTATTATGTTTTTGTCAAATACAGTACAAATACAGTCAAATACAGCATCTGTTTGGGCTTGCGTACAAATGATTTATAATTATGTTCCGGCCCCCCAACCATCTGTCCAAGAAAAAAATAGGCCCGGGGCTGAATCTAGTTTATGACCCCTGACATAGTGTATGTGTCTGCTGACGGTACATGGTAAGATATGGCACTGCAAAAGGTTAGCCTGATTCCGTGTAGGATAAGGAGGCATTGTCTTTTGGAAAACAAAAAGAAAGCTGGTTAAGTTATGTACCTTCTCCGTGTTTGTCAGTGAACTGAAAGGCCTGCACCAGACGCAGGGTCTCGTCGATGGAGCGTCCCACTGGAAGGTCGTTGATGGTGATCTGCCTCAAGACGCCCTTGTCGTCAATAATGAATAGGCCCCTGAAAAAACAAACAGGGAATAAATTGAGTGATTTAGTCTTGTGTTAGTCTTGTTGGGCACGTAGTCTTACGTTAGGCACGTTACCCGGGTTTTGACCCAGTCGGTCATAGAGACACTGAACTTTGACCCTTGAACTTGTCTGTTGTGAACCCACCTGTAGGCGATGCCCTCATCCTCCTTCAGCACCCCGTAGTCTGTGGAGATGGAACGCAGTGTGTCGGCTACCAGAGGGATCTTCATGGCACCCAGACCGCCCTGCTTACGAGGTGTGTTGGTCCTGTAAGAACACACACAACCATACACAAAGAGACTGAATTTAGTCTTTTTTTGTGTGTCTGAGACCAAGCGTCCCTGCCAGCTGTGGTATACAGAAGGACAGGGATAGTAGTAAACAGGTTTCTGTGTGCACAGAGACGGCAGAAGTAGGGGTGCGGCAGCTGCCGGTCCTCTGAACAAAAAATTCATATTTGGACACTGAAGTTTTAGCCTATTCTAGTAACTGAAATATGTACACTGACTGTAGTCCTATAACTCTCACATGTAGCCTAATATAATAGTATTTATTGGAGTAAAATGATACACCAAATGTTAATTTTGTATCGGAAATAGGAGTGGAGAAATATGATTTCTTTCTTTCAGCATCTTTGGACCGTGCAAACGTGCTATATTTGTCAGCGACATAAAAGCTGACAGTAGGCTACCTCAACCACATAAAATATGCATCCAAGATTAACTGAAATCTTATCAGATTCATGTTAGATCGTTTTCACAGCTTTTCATTTCTTTGAAACCGGTCAAACAGATTCTATACTGAGCAAAAATATAAACACAACATGCAACAATTTGAAATTATTTTGCCGAGTTACAGTTAATATAAGGAAATCCCCCCCAGACGATCCCGCAAGTGAAGAAGCCGGATGTGGAGGTCCTGGGCTGCGGTTGTGAAGCCGGTTGGACGTAATGCCAAATTCTCTAAAACGACATTAGAGGCAGCTTATGGTTGAGAAATTAACATTACATTCTCTGGCAACAGCTCTGGTGGACATTCCTGTAGTCAGAATGCCAATTTCACGCTCCCTCAAAACTTGAGACATCTGTGGCATTGTGTTGTGTGACAAAACTGCACATTTTAGAGTGGCCTTTTACTGTCCCCAGCACAAGCTGCATCTGTGGAATGATCATGCTGTTTAATCAGCTTCTTGATATGCAACACCTGTCAGATGGATGGATCATCTTTACAAAGGATTGCGAAAGTATTCACCCCCCTTGGCATTTTTCCTATTTTGTTGCCTTACAACCTGGAATTAAAATTGATTTTGGGGGGGTTTGTATCATTTGATTTACACAACATGCCTACCACATTGAAGATGCAAAATATTTTTTATTGTGAAACAAACAAGAAATAAGACAAAAAAACAGAAAACTTGAGCGTGCATAACTATTCACCCATCCAAAGTCAATACTTTGTAGAGCCACCTTTTGCAGCAATTACAGCTGCAAGTCTCTTGGGGTATGTCTCTATATGCTTGGCACATCTAGCCACTCAAGTGTTGCTTAGGGTCATTGTCCTGCTGGAAGGTGAACCTCCGTCCCAGTCTCAAATCTCTGGAAGACTGAAACAGGTTTACCTCAAGAATTTCCATCCATAATTCCTTCAATTCTGACCAGTTTCCCAGTCCCTGCCGATGAAAAACATCCCCACAGCATGATGCTGCCAACATGCTTCACTGTGTGGATGGTGTTCTCGGGGTGATGAGAGGTGTTGGGTTTGCGCCAGACATAGCATTTTCCTTGATGGCCAAAAAGCTAAATTTTAGTCTCATCTGACCAGAGTACCTTCTTCCATATGTTTGGGAAGTCTCCCACATGCCTTTTGGCGAACACCAAACGTGTTTGCTTATTTTTTTCTTTAAGCAATGGCTTTTTTCTGTCCACTCTTCCATAAAGCCCAGCTCTGTGGAGTGTACGGCTTAAAGTGGTCCTATGGACAGATACTCCAATCTCCGATTTGCAGCTCCTTCAGGGTTATCATTGGTCTCTTTGTGCCTCTCTGATTAATGCCCTCCTTGCCTGGTCCATGAGTTTTGGTGGGCTGTCCTCTCTTGGCAGATTTGTTGTGGTGCCATATTCTTTCAATTCTTTTAATAATGGATTTAATGGTGCTCCGTGGGATGTTCAAAGTTTCTGATATTTTTTTATAACCCAACCTTGATCTGTACTCCTCCACAACTTTGTCCCTGACCTGTATGGAGAGCTCCTTGGTCTTAATTGGTGCCGCTTGCTTGGTGGTGCCCCTTGCTTAGTGGTGTTGCAGACTCTGGGGCTTTTCAGAACAGGTGAATATATACTGAGATCATGTGACACTTAGATTGCACACAGGTGGACTTTATTTAACTAATTTTATTTAACTAAAAAATGTGTGCACAACATTTGAGACAAATAAGCTTTTTGTGCATATGGAACATTTCTGGGTTCTTTTATTTCAGCTCATGAAACATGGGACCAACACTTTACGTTTATATTTTTGTTCATTTTATTTGACAATTTTGCAAGGAAAATCTTTCAGGTGTTTTAGAGTTAGGTTATTGCATTTTTTCTCCTCTGTACCTACACGTCCTCGCTCTGTGAGCAGAAATGGAAGAGAAAACTTCACCGATGTCAACTAAAATAGGCTTATTATTGATTGATTCATTCTATTGATTATTACATTTTTCTGCTTTTTTTTGTCTTCTAGGACAACAAGTAATGACATGTAGGCCTATCTAATTATAGACAGGTTGGCTAACAAATAGCCTACCAAATGTCGGAAATTATATGCAGATAAAATAGATCTAAAATAGGGGTGAAAGTAGCCTGAGTAGACAGAGATGACTGGCCGGGACAGTGACGCTCGGACAGCAGTGGACGCATCAATCAATTCAGGCTACAAGTGTACCTAACGACAATCGCTGAATGTCATTACACTTTTGGTGTTTTAATAGACCTCTCTTTCCATTCATCAAATGGCGGTGCGTGCACTGGTGGTGCGTGCACTGTTTAAGATGCTGGAATCACTATAGAATGGGTTGAATGTGTGCAGGTTTGACAATCAGATGAAAACATAATTTGTACAGTTAAATGACATATTTACTATTACGGCCATAAGAAAATGTGCGTGTACACTCCGCTGTAAAAAATCCAAAACGTCCCGCTGTCCCTGTGTGTGCAGGAGGGACGACAGAACATCACTGCACAAGCGGCACTGTAACTTATCCTGCGTCACCTAGGACGAAATCTTCTTAAGGCAAAATAAAATGTGCAAAGTGCAAAAGACTCGTACCAGGCAAGATGGCAGAAGTGGGAGTCAACAGAGGCACCAATGACCTCGCAGCCAATCTTCCTGAACTCCTCGGCAGCGTCACTGAAAGCGATGATCTCAGTAGGGCACACAAAGGTGAAGTCCAGCGGGTAGAAGAAGAACACCACATACTTCCCTGCAGGCAAGCGGCACAAGACACACCATTAGACACACCTATCAAGTTCCGGAGCCTGGAAGCACATATTCAATGTCCAATAGGCTTATAGGTCATTACTGTATGATTAAACTTTAAAATCCTGAACCAGTCACAAATCTTACCACACAGAGACAAAACGAAGGTCAGTGCAGAATACTATGAAGCATAGTAGCAGGCCTACCTCTGTAGTTAGACATGCTGATGTCTTTAAACTGTCCGTCTGGCATCACTGCTGTGGCCTTGAAGTCAGGGGCCAGATGCCCGATGCGCGCTTTACCCGCAGCCATCTTCAGTTTGACTGGAGGGGGAGGAAGAGTAAATTAACAAATATGCCTTTCCTGTTTTATGTATGCTGTCCATGTACAGTATACAGCAATAACCACTCATGGTAGTACACAGAAAAACACTAATTTAACTGGACATGAAAGATGAAATGGGATGTTCTCTCCATCCTCTTTCTTAACATTTTCAGGATTGTAGCTTTAATGTGAAAAGAACTGAAAACAATACAGGGAGGAATAGGAAATGTATTATATGTAAGATTTCACTTCTTTCATGCGCAGCACCTAATCCACAGGGTTTATTTTACGCATTAATCACATAGTTCAACAGGTTGTTCTTACCTGGCAAGTGGCAAAACCTTTCACTATATTACACACGCAGTCAGTCGTATTTCGTCAACCTGCATGTACTTCCTCTCGTGCAGACAATGTTTTCGAACAGGGCATTCGTTTAACTTGTGAACACTAGGTATGGAACGCACTCAGCCAATAAACGCAGCACGACGTCGCCGCGTATGTGACAGCCTTTTTTAAAATAGGAATTTGACTGTAGTATGAATCAATTAAATCCTACGTCAAAATTAGTCGTTTGATTGTACTAATTTCATGAAATATATTTATTCCTGCACTAACTAGAAAGTGAAAGCAAAACATATAATTGTTTCACAATGAACAGAGTTTTTTTCTCGACAAGTGATTTTTTCCTCACCTGATTTTCTATTCCAATATTCCATTGAACAAATACAAGATGTAGGCCACTTGGGCATCCTCCCCACAAAAACTATTGTAAAGCTAAACAAACGCATTTATTCTGTCGTCAATGGAAATTTAGGCTACAAGTTTAATGCCGGTAAGATTGCACACAAAGAAAATGATACGGTAATAAAAGTGTAACTGTTAGTCATAGTATGGCCAAGTTTTCACTTTCTTTTTTTGGAATAACCGAAAACATGCTTTAGCCTATACATTTCATGTTAGATTGAAAGTGTAGCCCTACAAAACACGTACCTCTGCTTGGGTCCCTTTTGGTCCCACAGCTTCGGCTTGAGAGGAGGAGTGCGATGAATGAGCAGAATCGCATGGAAATATATACAGTAGCTGAATTCTCGCGTTGTCAGACCACCGACAATGGCCACAGCCCATTCATTTAGTCGATATGAGTATTTGACCACATTTGACTACTTCACAGCACCATGACTCTGCACATTTCATCCTCATTCCATCTAAAATAACCTGCGATTGAAAACTCATATGAGTAAGGATCAGTAAGGAAAAGACAGTAGGAAATAGATCATGTCCCCCACCCTTGTCTTCTCTTATCATCTAATCATTCTCTTCTCTTTTATTCTCTTCTCAACATGCAAAACTATAGATGTAAGCCTAGATAACATACGTGACAGTTATTTCATAAAATATCTACATTTTTATAACCTTACATCAAAACACTTCATTTTGTCATCTTTAAAGAGATGTTTCTCAGTGATTTTCAGGGAGAGCAGCAAAAGCCCACAGCAGCCCCCTCCTATGAGCCCCCTCTTCTAATCCAAGTCAACAGCCATGCTGGGGTCACACAACCATGAGGCTCCCATCATGTAACACAGACACCATATAATCTATAGACACCCATATAATCTACATTTTACAGCAGAAGATTTCCAACTATTACCCAACTTTATTACCCCTAGTTGAAATGACATTTTATGGCATCCACTTTATCCACTCCTCTCCCATCTCTGAATGTTTAGTCTATTGACCTACTACTACTACTACTACTACTACTACTACTACTACTACTACTACTACTACTACTACTACTACTACTACTACTACTACTACTACTGCTGCTGCTGCTGCTGCTACTCGTGTATAGGATCCCACTAACAAAGCTTTAAATGTGGTAGCGTAAAACCATTGACCACCTTAGCATACTTAATCTGAGAATGCCAGTAATACTTACTCTGATCTAAAAAAAAAAAAGAACTATAATAGAACTGTATTTGCTCTGGAGAATGTGGCTTATATAATAATATACAGTGCATTCGGAAAGTATTCAGACTTTTCCACATTTTGTTACGTTACAGCCTTATTCTTAAATGGATACACAATACCCCGTAATGACAAAGCAAAAACAGGTTTTTAGACATTTCTGAAAATATATATTTTAAAACTACTGAAAAATCAAATTTACATAAGTATTCAGACCCTTTACTCAGTACTTTGTTGACGCATCTTTGGCAACGATTACAGCCTCAAGTCTTCTTAGGTATCATGCTTCAAGCTTGGCACACCTGTATATGGGGAGTTTTTCCCATTCTTCTCTGCAGATCCTCTCAAGCTCTGTCAGGTTAGATGGGGACTGCGTCGCTGCACAGCTATTTTCAGGTCTCTCCAGAGATGTTCGATCAGGTTCAAGTCCGGGCTCTGGCTGGGCCACTCAAGGACATTCAGAGACTTGTCCCAAAGCCACTCCTGCGTTGTCTTGGCTGTGTGCTTAGGGTCGTTGTCCTGTTGGAAGGTGAACCTTCGCCCCAGTCTGAGGTCCTGAGCACTCTGGAGTAGGTTTTCATCAAGGATCTCTCTGTACTTTGCTCCATTCATCTTTCTCTTGATCCTGACTAGTCTCCCAGTCCTTGCCACTGAAAAATATCCCCACAGCATGATGCTGCCACCACCAGGCCAAAGAGTTCAATCTTGGTTTCATCAGACCAGAGAATCTTGTTTCTCATGGTCTGAGAGTCCTTTAGGTGCCTTTTGGCAAACTCCAAGCGGACTGTCATGTGCCTATTACTGAGAAGTGGCTTCCGTCTGGCCACTCTACCATAAAGGCCTGATTGGTGGAGTGCTGCAGAGATGGTTGTCCTTCTGGAAGGTTCTCCCATCTCAACAGAGGAACTCTGGAGCTCTGTCAGTGTGACCATCAGGTTCTTGGTCACCTCCCTGACCAAGGCCCTTCTCCCCCGATTGCTCAGTTTGGCCGTGCGGCCAGCTCTAGGAAGAGTCTTGGTGGTTCCAAACTTCTTCCATTTAAGAATGATGGAGGCTACTGTGTTCTTGGGGAACCTTCAATTCGGCATACATTTGTTGGTACCCTTCCACAGATCTGTGCCTCAACACAATCCTGTCTCGGAGCTCTACGGACAATTCCTTCGACCTCATGGCTTGGTTTTTGCTCTGACATGCACAATCAACTGTGGGACCTTATATAGACATGTGTGTGTCTTTCCAAATCATGTCCAGTCAATTGAATTTACCACAGGTGGACTCCAATCAAGTTGTAGAAACATCTCAAGGATGATCAATGGAAACAGGATACACCTGAGCTCAGTTTTGAGTCTCATAGCAAAGGGTCTGAATACTTATGTAAATACGTTTTTCATTTTTTATAAAATTAGGCAAAAAATTCTAAAAACCTGTTTTCACTTTGTCGTTATGGGGTATTGTGTGTAAATTGATGAGGGACATTTTTTTTATTTAATCAATTTTAGAATAAAGCTGCAACCTAACAAAATGTGGAAAAGGTCAAGGGGTCTGAATACTTTCCGAATGCACCATATCTGTTAGGTCTGTGTTAGCATTCAGGGTGGTGGTTAATCTTTACAACACTCTGTATTTACCTACAGCAGGATTGTTCCCAGTCCTGCTTCCTCTTCACCCCATCTACTAGTGCTCTGTAGCCTGTTTGCATGGTAATAAAATAAATGCCTAAAGGGAACACACCCAGGTGCATAAGCTATATTACAATATCAAGGAACCTCATGGCGGCAGCACCTATACTAAGAAATCACATTTACCCACATCTCCTCTCTAGTATATCTTTACCTGGGTTGAAAATGGCAGATTTAGGCACTGATAAACACATAAATTGGAACGCAGTGGCTGTACAGTAACATGCTATACATGACGTCAGAGCTCAGGCTCTGTGCTTCACAGCGCTGTATGGGTTTTGACTGACAGCCGTTCTGAACTTGCCCCCATTCCTCCCGCTAACTGGGCAACTTTAGCAAATGTTTTGTTGTCTGAGTGAGGGAAATGCTGTAAATTAAGAGGACAATGTGTTTTGAAAGATGAGGCATTGAGGATTATAATACATACCGCATTGATGTCATACAAGCAAGCCACATTTCCATATCACAAAACTCATGTCATTTACAGTGTCAATGTTTATGATCACTATGTTTGATGTACAGTTATAAGATGACATGGCGTCATACCCTGGATTGTTCTGAACAGAATGATCCTATGTTTGTCTATTGTGAAGAAAATTAGCTGCGGAACATGCAACTGAATGCACTCATGACTCCTTTCTATGAGCACCAACATTAGAGTTTCCCTGAATTGCCCTGTGAAAGCCTAACACTGTAGGATCATATTTTATAACTTAGCTAGTCAAGTTGGCAATAGAACAAGCTTTCAAATGATGCCCACCTGACCCAGATTGCTATTTATAATGGACTGTTTTCATATTGCGTAAACAACAACAGTAATTGTGTGATGGCGGGGATGCAGGGCTGTGTTCCAAACAAAATAACTACAAGTGTGCTTGCTCTAGTTCCTCAAAGGCACAGCTAGGAGAGCTCAAAAAAGCACCTTACAGTTTTACGAAGTCTGGAACCAACAGGACCCTGAACAGCTTCTACCACCAAGCCATAAGACTGCTAATAGTTAACCAAATAGCTACCTGGATTATCTGCATTGACTCCCCCCTTTGCACCAACTCTCTTTGATCACATACACTGCTGCTACTGCTTATTATCTATCCTGTTGCCTAGTCACTTTACCACTACCTATATGTACGTACCGTATTTACCTCAATTACCTCGTACACCTGCACATCGACTCGGTACTGGTACTCTGTATAGCCAAGTTATTATTACTTATTGTGTATTAATTCCTTGTGTTATCGTTCTACAATTGTTATATTTTTCTCTCTGCATTGCTGGGAAGGGCTCGTAAGTAAGCATTTCACTGTTAGTCTGCACCTGTTGTTTACGTAGCATGTGACAAAT